AATATAATATATTATAATAAAATTATATAGATATTCACATGATATTCCCCTAGGAGTGGATCAAATAACATCCCTGTTTTCACGCGTTTCTCCTGGAAAATTCAATAAGTGCCGGACCTCTTCCATCCGCATCCTGCTGCTGGACAATACTAAGCTACGGCATCATGTGATAATTATCAGCTGTAATAATGCATCATTGTATCATTATCAACTATGATTACATAATTATAATATCATGTGATAATGATAATGATGTAAACTAATGTATAATGATGTAGAATGATCATGATAATGATAGTGATATCAACTATACATAATTAATCATCTTAAGCTACTGTAATGATCAACATGATAATGATGATCATGCTGATGATGATAATGCTGATAGCAAGAACATAGTAAGAATACCGTAATAATACTAATCATGATAATGCTGATGGCAAGAATCTAGTAATAGAATACTAGCTATGGTAATATCAATAATATCAAGTCCTGTAGAATTATAATTTGTCTATCTGTCCATCCATGTGTCTCTCGTTCTCTCCCTCTCTCTCTCTCTGTCTGTATTCATTTATCCATGTATCAGGTTTGTTTTCTGCCTGTCTACCTGTATCAAATCTATACACCTACAATATGTTTTTTCCAATAAAGGAAATGTGTGTGTGTCTTGCACCCAACAAATTGCGCTGTTCATGTATGCAAGGCTTCGCACCCAACATGGAACCCAATTGCAGCTATACGTTATGATGCTGAAATGGAAAAAAGAAAACATTCATGACTCATGACCAGCAAACCAAAATATGGCGACAATCAATCCCTCCTGACTGCAATATAGTTGGGCTGCCATTCAGTCACAAGCCACTTATCGAAGTTCAGCATGGCCCGAACATCCAAGTCTGGAACGTTCTCATTCTCATGGTTACTTACCCTCTGGAAATTTAACATAGCTATGAACAATCGCCGTCCTTAAGGGCTAAATCATCTGTGAATGAGCAATTTTCCCTAAGTTAAATTACCGGAAGGTATATCTGCTTTCCCGATCTTGATGAGATGAACCCACAGTGAGTGTTGCTGGCATGCCAATCTTTATTGCTGAAACCAACCATCTACATCATGGAGCCCCTCAGTTCTAAATTGCTGCATAAACCCATCAAACTGTAGATACATGGATGTGTCTGAAAATGGTTTATACCCCGAAATAACAATCGAATAAACAAGTGTTTTAGAACACATCATTTCTTTAGGGATACCTATCTATATCCACCATACATCCATCCGTCATCAGCCCACATCCCCGGTGGAAACCCGGGCCTCATCCTCTTGCTCCTCCTCTTGAGCCACGCGCGTCAGAGGTGGTTCAGCCTCAGGCGAACGGGATTCCCAGACACTTTGCTATGATGGCATAGATGTCACGTAGATGGCCCATAGAAATAGATGATTTACCTGAAATTTACCTATTAAAATGATGGATTTACCTATTAAAAGGATGATTTGTTTTTCCATAGCTAATGTTGCAAACATGCTTTCCACCGATCAAATGCCAGTGAAGGCATTGGATTGTCATCCTATGTGCGCAATGTACAGTAGCGATCATTGCATTGCCATGATCCATCTGGAGAGGTCGTAAAGCTGAACGCCACAAGCACAAGGTCGAATAGCTCTTTGAGGTATCCCAAAAAATGTGAAAAAATGGTAGTTGGAATGTGTTCTGTTGCGTCAAAGCCAAGTCATACCAGCAAAGCAAAATGAGAGATTTGGTATCTACCAATCTGTCTATGAAGCCTGAACACGTAACTCATTAAATGTATATGTAATATATATATATAACTATAACACATTATATATTATATATATATACATATACTCACATGCGCAAAACTGTCAATTGTATAGAAACAGTAAGCAAATTATGTAATTTCTTTACTACACGTTGTTGTCTAAGAAATTAAATATCATTTACTGTTTGAGACAGTAAATAGGGACCATCATCTTCCACTTACCTCTCATATACTCTCAGATAGGTAACTAACCCCAAAGATGCGAAGTCAGCCTGGTTCCTATCTTAAAAGGAACTGGAAGCATACTTGGGAGTGTTGGGGATATTAGTCGGTACAACTATGGTAACCCACATAAGTCGGGATATAACCCCAACTTAACGATGGTTACATATCATTGCATATCCAGTTCCAACATGTTCCAACTGGTTCCACTCCAAACATGTCCCACAATGAAAACCTTATTTTTTGCAGATCTCATCCCAAAATCCCCGATTTTGTGATGGGATTTCCCCAACTGACCAATGGCAGCAGCAGCGATTCTTTCGCACCGTTCGGTGCAGGGCCCAGTGCAGCCGGATCGACGGCGATGGCGTTGGCAGTTGCTATCCATCGCGGTCTGGGGGTTTGTCCAAAAATCGTGGATTTTACTGTATGAAATCGAGACATATCATATCTAGAATAGGATTTGGTCTTGAAAACATATCCAAGTTACTGGTCACTCTGTTCACTCAGGATGGAGCTAATCGTACAGGGAAATTGCTGTGTCCTGTAGGAACTCTATTGAGATTTCAAGTTCATTTGGAGCAATCCGGCTTGCTTCTGCTTGTAAAATGCTAACGATTTGCATGCTGATAGATAGTTATTCAGTTGTTCGTTCAATTTTGTTGGCGATCTGATCTACTCATAGTATAGATCATCAATCTACGAAAATAGGGCATGAATTAACATCACTGATGGACACAATGGAAACTATACAAACTATATCATTTGGACAATGACTTTTAAAAGGCTATCCCAGCTACATATACATATGTATTATATGCCTTGAAGTGAAACTCAGGGCCAGCAAGTCTGCCGTATGCGGCTAATGGCTGGTATCCTCCCTCATCAAGTGGCATCATCATCCTGTTTTTACGCTTCAAAATCAAACATATGTGTAACCACCAACCAGCAATCATCTTAGTTTTTCAACATCAAATATTCGTGTGGTTAGACATCTTTGTATTACGATGATTAGAAACCGCCAGTATAGTTGATAAAACAACATCTTTGACGATTCTGCGTGATTCTGTTTTTTTTGGTAAATCCGGTGGCGTAACATCGGTTCATCGGTCATCACCGTCGCTGAAATCAGACCGTGATTGTCGTATCTGAAAATGTGGTATTCCCACATTTTTCATGTCCTTAAAGTGCGTTTCTCACAGGAAAAGGAATATTAACCAGAACATCTATAAGGGGTATCCCGGTCCCCATTTTCAGACAGACCCATGGGGGCCGCCCGATGCGTTGACGTCATTGACCGTCAAGTCTCAGAGGTATCAGTCATAAGATCAGCGTCAGATGTCAACAGCTTCCGGCAGTGGTCAAATATGAGCAGTTTCCAAAGGCAATGATCTGGACCGTTTGCTACTTGTTGAATATGGACTTTAGATGACGCTGGTCATTTCAGTCATCCATAGTAATCACATATATCTGCTGTAAACCAAAAGAGACTTAATTTTCATAACACTGACCCGAGGGGTCATTGCCCCACTCTAGACTGAAAGGTCTGAAACACTAAGCGCTGAGGATTTTGTTGCACCGCGGCTTTGCCGCACTCTAAAATAAACTCTGCGGGTATTAAGGGGGTCTGCCACCCATCGAAGAATGACTGGATAGATCTGGATAGCACAAGTTCCACAAAGCCAAGCTGGCCAAATTCTAGTTCCCAGCTGGCCACAAATGGATCAGTTGCACTGTAGGTGGGTAACTATAGGGATCTATAGGGATGACGGGGGATGAGACTTGATCATTTCACAGAATGATGTCTGGTTTAGTAGCGTCTTGGGGATTGAAGCACCACATTTCGGTGAACCCAAGAATAGATGGTTGAGATTCACCCGTAGTGATTGTTGGTGGTCGAACATAAACCCAAACATTATCGGGGCAGGGCGGCGGGTCATTTTTATAGTGTATAGACTCGGCCTTTTGAAAATCATTGAATATCAATCCATCAAAATTGGCATTTGAATATATTTGACCATTGTATCACAATTGTATCACCATCAATAAGACTTCAACGCATCTACAGTGCACGTACATGAAACCCCTCTATGACGACGGTTGAAGGTGTTCACCCAACTTCCATCAAACCTTGAATTTCAGTATGTATAACATGCATGCGCATGCACGTTGTACAAGTTTGATAAATGTGTTTTTATATGTATGTCATATGTATAATACGTATGGAGATTTCCTAAGATAGGGGTACTCCCAAATCATGCATTTTTGTAGGATGTTCCATGAAAGAAACCATCCAGCTACCATTCATGGAACCCCCCATATATAGTATAAGTAGTAATATGACATGTGTGATGTATGTGTTGTTTTTGATGGTGAGGCAAGCCCCCTGTTGATTTCAGTTGGAGCCAACGACAACGACTAGTTGATCCAGCTCTGATTTTCATGGCGCTTGGAGAAGTCCTGAATTTGCACAGGGGCAAATTCAGCGACGTTAAATGAAAATCATATGGATTTGTGGGATGATAAAAATTACATTTAAATGACATTTAATGGGATAAAATGGGATCTTATGATTATAAAGGAATATCATAGGAATACAATGGAAAAATATATATAATGGTGATACAATGGGAATATCATTGGAATATGTATGATGATGGGAATATAATGGTGAAATAAACCCATGGGTATGGAAAATCACAAGTTCAATAGGTAAAGTATCTAATATAATGGTGATATGATGAGATACCCTTTGGTAGTTTACCATAGCTATGGAAACCACAATATTATAGGAATATCATGGTGATATGATAAAACATTTGTAGAATATTTCGCCTATGGTATTAGTTCGTAGCTATCCACTCTTGTTTTCATGGGATATAACCAACAACAATAGTGATATAATGGTGATATACCCTCTGGTAATCAAACTTCCTGGGAAATCGGCGACAAACGGAGGTTTTTTTTTCGCTGGGATCCAAGCTTAAGTTGAGACTGGCATCAAATCCGCTGCGTTTTGCCCGCAAACTCGTCTTCGATGCTCCTCAAGTCATGTGGGGAGTCATGTTGTGAGCAAAAGCCATGATCCAGTCACATTTGGGATAATGTAAACATATATAGAATTATAGACATATAATATATATATATATATGATTATATAATATCATATATGCATGTATATAATGCTATATATATATATGTATATGTATACAATGGGGACATAATGGGGATAGAATCTATATAATATTGTCAATTTTCATCATCAGTGTTTGTCATGAGACACTTTTTGTGGAAATATACGTTGGAAAAAGGTCAGGCAGTACCATATGTTTGCATGGCAACAAGGCTCCAAAAGAACCGTAAAAGCTATGGGGTGCTGCATAATTTCGACCCATATTCTGTTGCTGTTCTTCTTGGTGAGGTACCTAGTCGTCTTAGAGTTTAAAGATTGGTTCGTCGTTCTCAAGGCAAAAGTCAGTGCAAAATGTCATGTGTTTTCTGAATGGCAAGATGTCTGAACGTTTCAGCTCAAGAAAATGTCGCTGATTTTGTTAGCCCACCTGTTTTCAAAGAAGGGGGTGTTCAGCACCAATTTGGAAGCACTCTACAGACACAAGTGCATTGCATGCATATGTTCAATGGAAACACAGCAACTGTTGGTAAGATTGAGTGATTGGTACTGAGGAAACATATCTGTCTACGCATACAATGTAGCTAGGTTCAGGGAAAATATCCAAGTAATTGAATCATAATCAGTGGTATTGAGATATACTTTGTGTTGTGTGATTTGTGTAACTTATGTATGATTACATAATTATGCATTATTCTTTTAATCATGTATAACTTAACTGTATAACCCACAACTCATCTCTGATTTGGAACCGTCGAAGTATGTCGATATGTGGAACCCGATCACCGAAGCCTAGAACCGTACCCGACCAAGCCACTCTGCTTCAAACTGCTCTGCTTTTTGATGATCTCCAGATGTGTGCGCGCGAGGAGTCCCAATTTTCTCCTGAGTCGTTGAGATTGGTTGGGAATGTCAAATCCTCTCACTGAGTCTGAACAGAAGGTTTACACAGGTTATGAATGTGGGTTCACATGGAAACCATTTTTCTTTTTGCTCCGCCCCAGTACAATGTCCATTTGCAGACAACCGAGAGCAATGTTCCGAACACTCTTCCCACCAGATTAAAACCCCAAAGCTCATGAACTTTCGTTAAAGTTGCCTTGGCCTTTTGATTCTCAATATTCTAAAACCTATCATAATCAATCTTATCTTCATAAATACAGTTGTTAGTGCATGATCATCCTTTAACCATCATATTTGTAGCTTTTCCCCATGTCAGAAAGATACTTGAAAGATTCAACAAACGCCAAAAAACATATGCGTTTGTCAAACGTGGAAATGGGAAATCCCCATCTCTGGATGCATTTTTTGTTGGTCATATCCCATGAAATAACAGTGGATAGCTATGGATTGATACCAGAGGCGACATATCCCCATTATATTCCCATATATGCACATTTACAGATACTTTACCTATTAAAAAAATGGTAGTTTTCCATGGCTATGTTAAATTACCAAAGGGCATCTTATTTTGTTGCAACCTGTGCCAAAGTGTAAGGGGAAGTACACTTATCCGTGCTTGACGCGACGTGCGTGTCAGAGCCCTGGTCCTGTGCAGCTCACGTATCAAAACTGTGACCAGAATGGTATGATCATCAACAAAATATGGCATCGTTTGATATTGACCCTACCCATAGGCAGTTTTTTTTCTATATAATCCTATAGCTACATATAGATTCGCATTGTTTGCTGGCAATATCCGAAGTTTGCGTGTTCTTCGGTATTAACAATTCCAATCCAACATCAAGTAAAAAAATAGGAGCTAACCATGTATCGCTGCAATATCTTGTGTATGATAATATAGCAACCCCGAAATCGATCAAACAGTTGGAAATCTGGAAATATGAGGTGCATATCATCTATACCATCCATCCTGGAAACACAAAGTTCTATCTTTTTGGGGATCACTATTGACTATAAATACAGTCTGTATAACCCATTATATCAACGTAAGATTCCCGTTATATAGCCATCATATTTCCATTGTGATATAAATACCATTTCCTGTGTTCAACCCAACTTGCCTCAGGCGTTTTGAGCGCACTCGCCGCACTCCCACTCGTTGCGTCTGAGTTCATCCGCGAACGCCCTGGGCTGCACACTGGGCATATTTGATCAAAAAAATGTCAAAAAAATGTCAAACTCATTCAGATTCTTAAACGAACACAAACAAAAATGACGGTTGAATGTGGGTGATACTGTTAAAAAGTGCCCCAAATCTTGGGAATGACCTTGTCTGGTGACCTTGTCTGGTCCCCGCGCCACAGGTTTCATGAAGCTTCATCCCCATGGTTTAAAAAATCGATTCCCCGTAAAATTCCCAATTCCTAAGATGCCCAGCATGTTTTTTCAGCAGTATACTATATGTTATACTATGTTATATTATATAACAGTTATATTAATCCACTATATCTATCTATATATAAATATATTCTATATATATATATGTATATATTATACGTGTCTTTATCTATATACTTCAACATCTCTTTATTCGAGTGTTTGCTGAAACCCTGCCCCAACTCAGGTGACCCGGGTCCGTTGCTGGTGAGTTCCCAACAGTCAACATCTCTGTCCAACGATGGGAAGCCAAATCACCAACCCAGATCAACCCAGGGGGACCAAATCATTGCACCCAAATGGTGCAACTGGTCAAACGCCTTTCTGAAAATCCCGTTTTCCGATCAACTTCTAGTGGTTTTTTATCACCATTAAATCCATGTTAACTCCCCATTTGTGGAGGATTTTCACACATCCCGATTGGATTTTGATTAAAGAAGCAATTAGTGCTATAACTGGCCACACTCATGACGAGTTAATAACTATAATGATAATATGATATAATATGATGACCCCAGCAAATAACCCTAATTTATAACTCTTTATGATTTATAAACCCTAGTTAAGAAGTTCGATAGGGCTTAAACCTAGTTGCACGTACAACTACCATGTAGTTGCGAAACTCTTGGTAGCTCCGAAGGGCTCCCCATACACCGCTCCCTCCAAACCCATAAGACAAGTTCCTCATCAAAAATGGACGTGTGTAAAGTCATGGGGGTACCGCAGTTATCATCCAAGTCATTGGACCATGACTTAGTCTTGGTTACCCTCTGGTAAACTAACAGTTTGCTATTGAAAATGGCCATTGATAGTGAGTTTTCCCATGAAAAAGTGGTGATTTTCCATAGTTATGTAAACGTTTACCAGGGGGTAACCCATGGTGACGACTGGGGATCCCCCATGACGAAAAAAGAACCCCCATGGCTAACCCATCCGAATCTCCAAGCCACGTGAAGATCTCCTACCGTGCCGGAAGTCTGAACCTCTTCCAGGACCGGACAGCTGGAACCAGGGATTCCCCTAAAAAACGTTGGGGGAATCTGTTGTGGAAACGTGGTTTTAACCATGGAATCAGCACGAAACACTGTGATAACCATGGGATTTTTGTTGGGGTTATTGGTACCAATGGGATTTGAATCCCTGGAATATACTGCTTACGGCCCTATGGTTGTAGATCCACCTGTAGGAGAATTCGGTGTGATCAGCTAACAAATGGTTCTTGAAACTGGGTAATAACATGTAATCACCACAATAATCCACTATGGCTGGAAAAAATGCGTTCTTGTTCGTTTCTACTAGTTCAGTTTCAGGATCATCCAAGCAATTGGTGTGGAAATATTGGAGGAACATTCCCCAGGCCTGTTTCAGGACTCAACAGCAGAACCAGAATCTACCCTGAGAAGCTCCGAAGAGCTGCAAAATCTGCATCCCAGTTGCAGAACATCACCAGGTTGCTGCTTAGAATACTCTCAGTTGGTTATCATATAGGTTCCGTTATATAATGTTAATATTGCTATTAAATAATGATTGTTGTTCTTATCTTATCATGGGAGCATATAATGGTGGTGAACAGTGGTGAATATCCCCTCATTGCTCCCCAAAGTGCCCCCCTTGCGATGGAAGCTCACCGGTGACGATTGCCCATCACTAGGTGGTTGGTGCTTCAAGCTCCGAAAATCTGAGGAAAAACACAGCTCATCATACCAGTTATATAGGATCGAACATAAATAATTTTTGAGTTACAAACCAAATTCATTCGTTGATGTGCTTTTGGTATTCTACACATTTTGTTGGTTGGTAGGTACCCGTTTTCGCTGGTCAAATCGTTCCATATACCTGCGCCCGCTGTATATGTCCGAATGATCTGCGAATTATCTGCCAGAAGCTGCTCCATTCTCGTAGATTAAATCCCTAAATCGAAGCTGCGAAACCAACACCCTGAATACAAAAGGATCAATTCTGCAAATAGAGAGGTAAAACGACCCTATTTGTAGTGGTTAATCCAAGAATTTAAGCCTCCAATTTGCCATTTGAAGTCCAAAATATTGCAGCTATATCCCCATGAATCGCTTCAACTCCAAAATTGGCTCCATTCAAAATCCAGCGAAAATCTCCATTCTTCATGGTTAAATGGGTTAAATCCACCGTTTTGACTTGTTAAAACATCAATTTTTGGTGCTGATTTTTTTTTGGTGACCCAGAAGCCTCTGGACCAGTTGTCTGAGTCTCGCCGGATGCGGCTCCCAGAGGTACGATATTCCTCGCTGCGAAAGGGAGAAATCGACGGGGAAAATCTATGGTCTGAACATAGGCTATCCCGAAATTTGATAAAGAGCTTTACTAAAGGTTAACTATAGCTATAGCTATCCCAAAATTTGATGGTCTGAACCTATGGTTATAGCTTCTCATTATTTTTCACTATAATAAAAGAGCGATCTGAGATTATAAATTAAAACCCATTTTTGGACAGACTCATAAAGATGGGCTGAGAATGGAATCGATCGAAAGTAAAATTGTGAAAAGAACATGATAGGATAAGAGGAATATGTCTTGAAATGTCTGATATAAAATGCATGAAATGCGGAGAACCAAACAAAAAATGGGATGGAAACGTACAGCGGTCATGAACCAGCAATAGCCAGCGTTCAGTGCAATTCGAATGCGACCACAAATAGGTAATGTGTTGCACTGCGGCCAAATTAAAGCCACATTGATGAAACTTAGTCATTCAACTCCAAATACGGAACATTCTTGAGTCAAATATTGGATCCCTTACGCATCCTTATTTTTGAGCACTCAAAAATATATGGGTATCTTGACCCATAGGATCCATGGTGCTGCTATATATGCTAACATAAAGGGGGTATATTGATGGGATTTATGTTATCATATATATATATAGCATACATGGATCCTACGGGTAACACGCCAGGCGTTTCCAAACCAGGACCCAGGACAAATTTCCAGTAACGTATTGCAATATTTTTTGTACGTCCAAAGAGGTATTCATCATCAGAGACAATCACAGATTGCTAATGTATATGTATTATATATAATACATATATATATATATACATAATTATAAATAAATATATATATATATAAATACACATATATATATACATAATTATAATATATATAATATAATATATATATATATAATCATATTTATATATATATATACATAATTATAAATATATAAATACAATCATCTTTATATATATATACATACACTAATATATATATATATAATATACATACACTTATCTTGTACGAGCCAAATCCCAAAAAAATGCTGATTTTAGCATCTGGGCTGGAGAAGACTTGTTCTGGTGTCTAATGCGTGCCATTTTTGTTGCTTACTCTCCGGTCATCAAACGTGGCCATTGAACATTCGAAATCGGACTGTGGAGGTGAGTTCTCCAAGGCGAGTGGCATTGTGGGACCGGCGCTCGGGAAAACTTGGACTGGACACATCCAGCATGGACTCTTCCAGTCTCCCAATGATTGTCCTTGCGGATGGGAATGAGGGAATGAGGGAATGAGGGAATGAGGGAATGGGATGCTTGTTTAAAACTATGGATTGGATCATTCCACTACCTTCAGCACTAAGATGATTTTCCAAGGTTCCACTGCCGGGTTGTGATCCAATCCCTGAGCATCTAGTTTGTTCTGGATGGTAAGCCCTCAGGCAGATGGGACAGGTGGGACACGTGTTTTGATGTTTGAAGGTTAAGACTTCACGGCAAGATTAGGCATGTTTTTTTGCATAGAATCTGTGCCTGCCCAACTGAGCAGTGTTCAAAACACTCCAATCGGTCCATTTAGACTGCCTGGCTGGTTCAAAGGATTTTCCATAGTGGATTGTGATGGTTCCCAGTATATTGAATCAGCTATTAGTGGCTTCGAACACTGCTCAATGCTGGAATTCTGCCGTCGAAATGAGCAATAACCTTGGTTAGTCGGAAAGTACACGTCATAATCCACCAATTGAATTGGTTATTTCAGTACAATGATGATCATATGATAATAACTAACGTATAATAGCAAGGTCCACTGAACATCAACATAGTGACATAGTTAGTAATTGGGTCTCACTTCATTACCCTACCTGTGCTACCTGCTCGTTACATCCCATCCTCCCATCCCTCTGCATCTGGGCGTCTTAAATGCGGACTTCCGGTCAGCGCTGTCCCCGCGCTCGCGCCGCGGGAGCGGCGGACTGTGCTGCGAATTTTCTTCGCCGTTCTGCTCGTCGTCCTCAGGGGGATCGTTGCGCAACAAACATGGGATTCTTCACTGGAGAACAAGAAATACGTAAAGTTTCTGTATATAATCCAGTCTGTAAGTAATTCTCCAATCTTATGGACTGGGATTATCCCGTATTTAGTTTGGTTCTAAGTCTGAATTAAGTGGCTTTGAATCATGTGTATTCAAGCACGAAGTGAGATGCACCTCAAATAATGGAGATTGGTGGATGCACTGATGGGTCTTGAAAGAGTTATAAAACGCTTTAGAAACAATAATGAATGGGATAACGGCCACGATGTAAGCATTGCCCATCCTCAGTAGAAATTTTCAACTGGCGTGAGTCCAGCCATTTGGATTGACTCAGCCAGTCCTGAAATGCTTGACCACTGGCGACCTTAAAATGGGGAAATCCCTAGTCGTCACTATGGGTTTCAGTACTAAAATCGTCTAATTTGGATGAGTTGGGGGTACCCCCCATTTTAGGAAACCTCCATATATTGATGGATGATGTTACGGACCCAGCACTAGTCACTAGTCAGACAAAAAAATACAGAGAACAATTGGGGATCTGGAAAAACCGGAACATGAGCTGTCACCAAGAAAACAGCAACCATGGGAATTGGAACGGCATGACAATCGGCACGGAATTGAGATGATGCCAGCACCATCCAGCACCCATATTTTCATTGTGTCCTGAAGATAGCCACTAGATATGGGCCAAGATCTAGATGCAATGCAGATCCATTCTGTTCAATATTCTCATGCTAGGGCGGACCATAATTCAAGCATACATACCCTTGATTACACATAGTGCAATGATGATCCCTAGTTGATGATATTTTGGCCTTGGTCCTCATGATTTTCTGTCGTCATATGTGTTAACAAGCTAAAGTATTGTACATCAAATCAATTTATGGAAATACCAGTTCCACAAGCTTTATGCAGTAATTTGTGCAATCGTTTTTTTAAGGTGCTCCGATCTTATTTTTGATCATGCGAGTCATGCGAGGCTTGTGGTTTCCAACTGTTTCCCACTATCTTTCATTGTGATTTCAGTGCTTTCCGCTTATCTTTCGTGGCAGGGTTCCAAGGGTTCCACCGGTTTTTCATCAGTTTTCCCTAAGTTTCAAAAAAAAGAATCCTGCAACATGTTCACAGTTTCCACAGCTATTTTGCAGGTTTTCCCTAGGATTTTGACAATCTTCCACAAGTACTTCCCAATTGTTCACCAAATTTTCCCCTAGTTTTCCCATATGTTCCCAATGTTTTCTCCAAATCTCCTAGTTTTCTCACATCTTTCCCCAATTTCCAGAGTTTTCCCACATTCTTCCCAATTGTTTTCCCTCTTTTTCCTAGTGCCCCAGGTACTTTCGCGTTGCCAAGGCGCGGAGTTCTCAGCGGCCTGCTGCTCCTCAGCCATCTCAGCCAATTCAGCCACGGCTTCCAGGTCGATGTTGTCCTGGACGGTGCCATGTAGGAAAATCCGAAAGATGCATTGATGATTCTATGGATCTTTCTATGGCATATTTAATACATGATTAAAGATAATTATGATCCCTATCTTTCTAATCCTAGGGATCTGTAATTATGATCTATTGATAATTCTATTTATGATTAAAGATAGGGATTTTTCTATGGCATTGATAGTAATACTATGATTAAAGATAGTACATTGATCATTAATGATTTAGGATTTTCCTATGTCACAATGTTAATGGTAATACTTTCGGATTTAGATGGAAACCTCCATACCCATAGGATCCATGTTGCTGCTTTATATGCTAACATAAAGGGGGTATATTGATGGGATCTATGTTACCATATATATAGCATACATGGATCCTATGGGATATGGGATTTTCCTATGTCACAATGTTGATGGTAATACTTTCGGATTTAGATGGAAACCCCCTTATGGTAATACCAGGGACATAATAATTAGTATGGTAATATTACGGCCAGGCACTGTGTGTTGCCCGGAAGGTTCAAATGGCGTTTAAACACTATCCTTCAACATGCTCATACACCTGCGCAGGGCCAGTGTTTTGAGATTTCCCAGACGACGAACCCTAAACCCTAAAACCCCAAGCCATCCTATACCCTAAAACCCTAAACCCTAAAACCCCAAACCCTAAGCCCTAAACCCTAAAACCAAAGCCCTGAAAACTTTGAAGCGGAAACTAGAAAATACTGCGTATACGCATTCTCAACACGACATATATTCGACAACACGACAACACGACATTCTCAATGTTAATGTCTGGGCAACACACGGCGTCTGTGGGTAATATTAGTAAATACTTAAAATTGGAAACCCCCATATATGGTAATACTTAGTGAAAAATATCTATAAGGCTATAATGTACAGTAAAATATCATTGGTACAATAAGGGTATAATAATATGGTATAATGTACAGTAAATATATATAATTGGTTCATATTGGTACAATAATGGTTATGAAGGCTATCATTGACCAATTTCTTTAATGTACAATGTACATGAAAACACCTTACGTTCCTGGCATTTTTCGGGGATGAGTGAAACCAGTCCAAATTGTTGAAATGTTCAAATTTACCCGAAGGTATCATCTATAGTAGTGATTATAATATTAAAACAGGCCTAAAATAGTATCTGCACATCATTGTAAAACAGGCCTAGGTATCATCACATCATTTCACATGTGCAACAGTAAGTCAAGCCATATATGTCTCAGGGTTGGAAACCTTAGGGACTGTTGGAAGTGATTGTTGCCTCATGCCTTTATCCTTTACACACTTCCGTTTGAACAAAGCTTGAACCAACGTGAAGCAGCTAATCCCCTTAAAATAAAACAAAACAAGGACCCTCTGGTCATTTAATATAGCTATTGAAAATTGCCATATATATATATAATATACAGTACATCTAAACATGTGTATATATATATATATATTATCCATATATAGTGGATGTACCTATTAAAAACATGTGATTTTGCATATACAGTAGCGATGTAAACGTTTACTATACTGTCGAGGTGATCCAAGAACTGCGGGATTTGGCCATCGCCTGGTGTAGGAGCTGCTCCAGGATGGGTTCGAACAAATAGTTGGACAGTTGGAGTCCTGGCGACATCGGCATGGCCGCACCATGGGCGTGTTTCATGCTTTGGACATGTTTTTTTTTTTTAATGTCTATAGATAATATACACACACACCCTTGTACACACATTATTATATATAAGATATAATGATATATAGCGATATAATATATGTACATATGTTAGTTAGCCTAGTTCATGATCAATCTAATCCTACGTACTGGAGGGGAATCGACTGCCAGACTGTCTCCGTTGCACTGTTCTGTTTTGGGAGATTTTGGTCCAAACAGCTAGTGATGGCTAGTTGCTTTGATATTCAGTGCGAACAGCATGGCCCAGGGGCCCAGTTCAAAAAGGATCAAACCCGACTTGGAACTGGTCAGGCCATGTCAGGTACCGCACCTGCGAAACAACTCACCGCCGTGGGCAAGACTAAGTTGTAGGTCCGTGTTCCAGTGAGTTCAATGGCGAAAACCACCTTGGTGTCCGCAAGTTGCGAGGTCGACCTAACAAATTCACGGGATGTAAAGTTGAGCCATGTTCAAATAATTGGTTATGAATCGGTTATGAAGTTCGTTCCATCGAAACATACGGATTTAACCAGTCTCATTCTTGTTACCTAGTACCTCCAATACCTCCAAAATTGTGTTTCACCTGGCAGTTGTGTAGCCCCAGCTGCTGGTGTCAATGGAAATCGGAAGCAACTGGCGAAGAGGCCTCCCAGCTGTTTTCGGCGGAAATCGCTGCCGTGGAAACGGCCTGGTAATATTCGAGAAAACACAATGAAATTCAATGAAGGGAGAGCTATACAAACAAACACATCATATTATCTTTCAAGTGTCCATTTGGATATATACGTTGTTTGTTTCTCTGGAGAGCATCCATGATGATCCCCGCAGCATGGTAAGCCGCAAGCCCAATGAGGGCCCACAGTTGTTCAAGTTTCATCATCTTCATCGAACTCACCAACTGGTGAAGCAAGGTCTGGTTGGTGGCTTCAACCCCTCTGAAAAATATTAGTCAATGGGAAGGATAATCCCATATATCATGGAAAATAAAAAATGTTCCTAACCACCAATCAGAGGTATGTTGGACATTGTGGCATCTAAGGAAAACAACCCAAAAAAACATGTTGCTTCGTGTGCCAGGCCAGCCACAACCTTTCTTCCGCGCCTACCATGCCAAAAATCTCACATGCCGAGTCTGAATCTCCAGCAATCTGGCCGTGATGTGCACGGCAGATGTCATGGTAAATGGAGAAATGGTACCCTCTGGTAAAGTAACAGTTTGCTATTGAAAATGACCATTTATAGTGGATTTACTTATTAACAATGATGATTTTCCATAGCTATGTTAGTTTACCAGAGGGTAAAACAAACCGGGATTTAGTCGCCTGAACCTACCGTTTGGTGAGAAACGCCACGTTTCTCAAGGTCACCAGGTTCATGTGTTAAGTCTTAACCGCAAGGTCGTATCATCCAAAAGACATCCCAAAGACTGTGTGGTTTAAAAGCAGCCAGGCCAAAAGTACCAAACATAGCTGGCCATCCTACTATTCAAATGTCTAAGACGTTGTAAGTCGACTCTGTTTGGTCAAACATAGCTTCATGGATCATTTGTCCATCCATCTTGCAAGGTGAAAGTTGTTTCCATGTTATTTTTCTCGCGACCAGACATGTCACAGATGGGACGATATATGTCCAAAGGTTCTAAATCCATTATATATATATATATATATGAATTCGTCAGTAGGTAAGCCATCTTCAAACATGAATCAGCAATTGCTATAATCTATGGTTGTTTCAGGTAATGCAAGGTGGTGACCCTTCGTTTAAGTTCGTTTATCAACCCAAAAGATCCCGAACTGCGGCACCGTGCACCATTCAACCTCTATTATTGATGAAACACTCCCTTTACATCACAATAATAGTTATTGCTTTTTTATTCCCATTGTATCACCATAAAACACTTAGACATAGCTGGATTAATTGACAATATCCCATAGTATCCTAAATAATATATTCATGTTTTCCCATATGATCTTCATTCTATTCCCATATTGATAGCAATGAATTCATCCCTGTGAAGATCATACGGGAATAGAATGAATATATTTTCTAAATGAATCCAGTTGTGGGATATTCCTCTATGTTCATTATATAGTATGAATATCCTAAATTATCCGATGCTGTCCAATAATAAAGTTATTATCACTAAATCAAATATCCCATAATAGCCTATAATTTTATTACAATATTATAGTATATGTCAATTATAAAGTTCATTCTATTCCCGTGTGGCTATGGTTCAAAATTGTGGACCCCAATAACCAGATGCTTCAGACTGAACATAGACATTTTTTGTCCCCTGGGTCTTTGAATTTTGACACATCCCCATTTTTCTGGGTCTCAATGCGGGGCCCCATTTATGATGGCTAAGTTGGGGGGTTACATAACTCCAATTTCACTTTGATGATATGCAAATAACCATAGTTCCATGTATAAGTTGGTTCATCAACTCCATGGTTACTATAGACTTCAAGTTAGTTGCATTTATAAGTTGGTTCATAAACATCAACTCCATTGTTACTGAAAAGACTTCGTTATAGGTTTCTATAGTTACAAGTAGCATAAACACAATGATCTAGTTCATACAAACTATAGACTTGTAAAGATTTCTATTGATCCCATAGTATAGCTATATATAATTCTAGAATATTTCTGGTTGACCGTATGTTTCTAGTATATTTATATGAATTTCTATGGTTTACATGTATATTATTCTAAACTTTTGATTTCTATGGTTCCATAGTATATTTATATAGTGCTACAGATTTCTGTAGTCTTGTATATGTTTCTATGGTTAACGTCAATGTGTCTTTAGCATAATGGCCATTTATAGTTGATTTATAGTTGATTTACCCAGTTAAAATGGTGATTTTCCAGTTCACAAACGGTTAGTTTACCAGAGGGTTATCCCATTTTAGCACTATAGTCATACTGTAGTCCCATTATATCCCATTTTACCACTATATATAGATGAACAAAATGGATATCTATATGGGTGAAAACCACCATAATATGACATAGTTTTCATATGATAGTTAGTTTTGGGGAAATCTATATTATTATGTCAATATGATAGTTATATGAGTTATATGGTTATGACTTCTCTATAGTTAGTTTTCAATAGATCTCCAGCTGAGTTTTTTTTGGAAAACCACCACCTTTGGCACCTCCTTGGGCAACATGCGGCCCATGGCCGCGCCCAGAAAGGCGCCCGAGATCAACACTGGTTCTAAGGTGTCGCCGGGGAAACGGCAAGCTACCTGGGAACTGGAGAAATCCCATGGGAAATTCATGGGAAATCTGATGGAAATTCATGACACCAACTTGGAGAAGCAGAAAACTCACAATTGGCTTTGCAATAAATATTGAACTAGAGTTCATGAGGTGAAACTAAACCAACAAACATGACTCATGGCCACCAGATTGCAGGCATGGTCCATGTAGCGAACCTGGTGGATAATGGGAATCTGCAGTTAAGATGAGGAGTTGACCATTCAAAAACTGGGGTTTCGGCCAAATTTGAGAATCAAACATTGGGATTCCGCGTGAAACGGTCACGTCAGACATTGGTGATGAAGAAAGTTCGGCCCTGTTCAATTAACAGCCTGTGGCTGAGGTATCAAGAATTAATTTCTTGGTTGATCCTTTTCAGGTTGATCAGGGCAAATCAAACCAACCAAGAACAAAGTGAAATGATAAACAACCATGGAGACTCAAGTTCGATTGACAGGCAAACGCGACACAACACTTGAGCCATCAAAGTATCAAACAAAATCTATCAAACTCCTGGAAAAATGGTCACGTTCGCCAAAACACCTCCAAACGCATCAAACGGTAATGATAAGATCATTGAAGGGATATGTGATACGTGGATAACGGCTCTAATGATATGATAAGAGTAAAGACATACTTAAACGGCAATTTTCTTTTTGGGTTCATACAGTAGTGGAAAAAATCGTATGATGTTATCATCTATAGGTACTACTATCATGATCAGTGTGATTCTACCACTATATTGTGACAACTATACTGGATTATTTACAACTACTCAGTTGCTCTAGTGTTGGCCACAAACTGGATTCTATATGTTAATTGTATGGATTAGGATCTATCAATGGACAATTACTTCAAACAAAAAACACATTTAATTAGGCAAACCACATCATAAACCATCCAAACTTGGGAATGATCATCTATTATCATCTATTATCCTATTAGTGGCTATATATTCCCATTGATTCCCATATATTGCTGGTTATATCTTCCATGTCCCATTAATTGCCGATTCTTGGTCTACCTCCATAACTGGGATGGCTGGACCCCTGGGACGCGCTCGCCGGAGTGCGCTCAAGGCGAAGGCCGCCAGTTTGCCGAGCGTGAAGATCAACAAATGTCCGGCATCCACCTTGGGAGCAACGGAAAAAAATGCCATTGGTCAGTGAAGAAAGAATCCAATAAAAAAGGCATGACACCCTGATTTCAACAGTTTGCGAAGTGGAAAATCACCATCTTGAATAGGTAAATTAACCATGTCTATGGGCCATTTTCAAGAGCTATGTAACAAATTACCAGAGTGTAACTGCAAAGACAATCAACAATCTAAAACTGGGGGCTTTGACGGACGCGCCACGGGGAAGGAGTAGGAGAGATCGAAGGGATGATTCTCCCGACTTCATCCACTCGAAGCTTTGATAGATGGCGCCGTGGTGGTTCACTGCTGGTGCGAAGTTTCACCCTCGGTGAGTCATAAGAGCTCAGAACTCTATTGCAGCTGTTAATATTCAACATTCTGTTGAATCATGAATATTCAAAACAGTTGAACTGCAATGGATACCATAACATTTCTCTGAACAACCAATGTTGAAAAGAAAATGGTCGAGGTAAACACATTGAGGCCACATCCAGGATTCATACAGAGACCGAACTACCCACCCTACCCCACTTCCCAACCCAGTGCTATTTTTGGATATACTCACTTGTATAAATCAATTCTTATCATGAAAAAACACCCACTTAAGTCACATTTTATTACAACTCTGGATATTTAACAGTTTGCTGTGGAAAGTGGAAAATAGCACATGTAGCTCGATGATTCACCTATTAAAATTGATTTGAGTAACAACACCCCAAAAACAACAGAGAAGTCAAACAAAGACGGTGACACCATGCAAGGGGCAGCGGCGGCAACCTGTTTTCACCATGCTTGAGCCAAACAAGGAAGTGGCAACATGTTGACCCGTAAGGAAGGATACTAAACAACTGAAAGAATGGGTATAGGAAACCTCCATTTCTTTCACGTATTAAACATTGTGTTTTGCAAGAGCTATGTGACAAATTATCAAAGGGTATATTCTCAGCACATCACCATTATATCACCATTTTATCGCCATTATATATTATATCATATCTATCTATCTATCTATCTATATATATATATATATATCGCGAATATATCACCATCGTATTCCCATTTCCCAGTTATTCATCTATAGTCCCCTGAAATATCACCAGTATACATCAGTATACCATATTAAATCAGACTATACCACTATACCCTATGGATCCAAACACTTGCTTCCTAAGGTACTTGGATCCATATGGGATAAATCCTCCAGTTGTACCCTCTTGTAATTTGTTACATAGCTCTTGAAAATGGCCCATAGAAGTAGTTGATTTACCTATTCAAGCTGGTGATTTTCCAGTTCGCAAACTCTTAGTTTACCAGTAAATCCTTTTATCTCTCATTATATCCCACTATATCCCCATTATCTTCCCATTGTTGCTGGTTAAATCTCAGTAAATCCACAGTTGACCGTTGCTTCCCCCCGTTGTTTCCACCGGTTTTTTCCACGTCGGGGCCACGTCGAAGTTCTCGTTGAGCGCCTCCTGCAGCGAGCGGAAGCCAATGCCCCAGACGCCACGCAGGTTGGCGGCGCGGAAGACGGCGCTGCCGATGCAGGCGACCAAGGCACCCACCACGCCGAAGAGGAGCCACCGGGGGATCTGGATGGATGATGTGAAGATGAATGGGAAAATCATGGTGATATGATACATATATATATATATAATTGGGTATATCCCTATGACAGGAATGAGGTACAACGACACCCAAATGGTTTGCACATGGGATTATTCTTGGGTTTACCTCCGTATTATGGCTGGAGAATGAATATATGTATATATATATATATGTATAATTATGTATATATTTATTTATGGTGGTATAATCTCATTAGATTATATATAGTTATATAGGTGTGGAGATCTGATGGATGGAGGAACAAATCGAGTGGTTGCGGGTTGCGGCTAGATATATCAAACTAGGATGATGAGGCGAGCCGGTGAGATCGGGATGGGGTAAATCTGCACAAAATTCGTTTGGATCTGGAGGATTTATAGATGTTCTGAGAGGGATCCTATTGATGTTTTGTTTGGATCCTATGTCTATCCGTTCTATGATGTTCTAGATCTGGGAGAGTTGCGATGCTTGGTGCTTGGTGTCTATAAGTGGAACTGATGACATTCCGCCTTGCCCCTGTGGTATGTGGGACCGACGGGGATCAAATGATGGAACCATGTTGCCTGATTACTGGCAAGTTCGTTGCTTAAAGAAAGCAACCTTCACACCCTTCTAAGTGAACCAAATTTTACATATGCATATGCTGCATGTGTAAAAATATGTCTGTGTATATATATGTATGTATGTACAGTACGTATACGTATAGATTATTGCTGTATGATTTTGGTGCAAAGCCAAGGATAATGTTTGTGTTGAGCTGGAAGATGGCCAGATGTCTTGGGAAAAATCGCGTCGGTCTGAGAAATCACAAAGCACGGTTCCCTTCAGGAAGGGCTCCCCTGTTTATAAGTTGGTATATAACCTCATCTAAATATAGTTGTAAGTACCTCATACACCAACTATAGTATGTTATAGTTATCAACCAACATAGCAAACTATGGGGCCCTTCCTGTAGAGATGTGGACCAAACAGCACGGTCAAACATTTAAAAAATGACATAGTCACCAACAATCTAATATATATATATATAAGCCTCTATGTGCCAGGGTGAAATTCTGTCAAACAACCATATTCAATAACCTTTTCGGTATGCAATAACCATATTGATCAAACAATGTCAAACACAAAACCAATGGTTTCCCATTCAATGTATTTTTCAGAAAATGCGTAAAATTCTCATCCGGGAAAACACCTTTCGATGTCAATGGTCCCGAAGAATCTTGCGAATTCGTCATCTTTGAAACAACTCCGAAGAATGTCCAAGGAGGAATAAATAAATAAATATATATATACGTATATATAATACCACTTGGGGGTTGAGTTCCACTTAAGAGATGGCTACGGCATTACCTATGGCCAAAGTTATTTTTTAGGGCTATGTCCTAACTTCTGGGGGTAACGGCCATGGTTTCGGTCGGGGGAATTGAAATCAAACATTGACCAAACTAACCATGGGGCCATGGGTCTGCAACTCATATTGGGATGGGATATGATGGGATGATGATGCTCATCTCGATCAAGGCACGTGCTTCAACGCCACCTTGCTGACAAACTTGTGGATATAGTGAAAGGCTTTGCTGAAACAATAGCCCACAAGAGCTGCCGTTAAGCCGATCCTCCGCGAGCAGTCAGTCACCCCACTGAGCGGAACTATCTCACACGGTTCAGTACCACAAGAGGGCTGTTCTATGTGTATAATAGTATATAATAGTAGTATACAGACACCAGGCATATTGGATTACTAGGCATTGAATGGTGTTGACTAATTCTCCCTATCGATCGCGTTTTCTATCAATATATGAAGGTTTCCTAAAATGGAGGATCCCCAAAACCATGGGTTTCAAATGGTTTCAGTACTCACGTAGACTACATTTAGTGAAACCTCCATATAAATCTATATAATATTCCATGACAACCATTGTTAGTTGGTTATATCCCTGTTATATCCCATCTATCATCGTTAACCGATCAATCTCAGTGGCGGCAGGGCAATCAGCATCCACATGCTTTGGCCATAGATTCGATTCACCTGGGCGGCGGCGGACAAAGACTTTGCATCACGGACGTGTTTTTTTTACGCGGGATCAGCCATAGATAAACTGTGTAATAAACCTTGTAATAAACCGTGTAAAACCATGTATATATATATATATATATATTATATATGTATATATATATATATAATATACTAATATATGTGGTCAATGAACATTGCGCGTTCTTTGTTTGAGAATGGGGAAAAACGGATAACCAAACGGTCATGATCGCAATTTTGAAACATACCCACTGGAGATATGCTGAATCCGAAAATTGGATTCCGGGATGAAGAGAACATCTACGGAAACCTTCATGTTTTATGGTTAAAGCATGTCCAAGTTGGGTTGTCCTATTTTTCAAGATCGATTTTCTTGTTGAACCAATCCATTGACTGGAACATTCGGATACCTGAGTGGTATCACCCAGGTCAATCCCCATCTAGTGACAGCAGCAGCCACTTGGCTCGGCGCCAGTCAAACCATGCCCCTGCGGCTTTTTAACATGGTCGGCAATCCATTTGTGCATGCAAACATCTACAATCTACTGCGCTTCAATCACAAGAAACTGAACCACGAGAACCTCACAAGAAAACCACCTGGTGCTGAACTTCAGAGCTTTCCCCATTGATTGCGATGGCCTTTATATTGGAATTTTTGAACCAGAAAATGAGGTGAATCGCAGTTAATCTTGGAAGATTTTGAGACTTTCCAAGTCACAACTGGCTTCCAGTCAGAAATCTCACTGAAGGAGCTGCCCCCCAGAGGTCGTTATTGCTGAGATCGGCGAGTGTTGTGCCAAGGAATGGGTTCATGTAATTGGCATTTTCTGCTGTTGTTGTTGCTGTTGCTGTTGCTGTTGCTGCTGCTGCTGCCGCTGCCGCTGCCGCTGCCGCTGCGGCTGCCGCTGCGGCTGCGGCTGCGGCGGCGGCGGCGGCTGCTGCTGCTGCTGCTGCGGCTGCTGCTGCTGCTGCTGCTGCTGTTGCTGTTGCTGTTGGTGTTGTTGTTGTGGTTGTTGTTGTTGTTGTGGTTGTTGTGTTGTTGTTGTGGTTGATGTTGTTGTTGTCGGCTAGTCGGAGGGTGGGGGGTGGGTGGGTTCTGAGTAGGTGGGTCGGTCGGTCGGTCGGTCGGTTGGTTGGTTGGTTGGGTTGGTTGTTGTCGTGGTTGGTTGTTGTTGTCGTCTTGTGGTCTTGTGGTCTTGTGGTCTTGTTGTCTTGTTGTCTTGTTGTTTTGTTGTTTTGTTGTGCTCATTTTCATTGGCCATTATTGTGCTTCATATGACCATTGGGGCCTGCTTCGATGTATGCAAACTAAATCATGCGTGTGGTTGCAATATGGTCCGACTTTTCATGAGTCGAATGGCCATTTCATGATTATATAAATCTATGATATTGCTCTATTGGTTGAATCACCATATTTACACGTTAATCCCAATATCCGTATAATGTTTATATGTTATACAGATACAATACAATATGATATATATATATATACATACATACATACATACACTCATTGGATAAATCCTCCCAAGCCATGTCACCGATGCGCCCGAGACCATGGTTTCGAGATCATCTGGGTGCGAAGCCAGAAACAGCACCTCGCGGTCGGTCATGGATGTCACAACATGTTGACACTACAAGGTGGTACTCCCTTATTAGAATTGCTATATCCTGGATATCCTCAAAATACCTGAGATAAATCTACCATAAACATCAGTAATTAAACTACACGGTGGTGCTCTAGTTCGCTGGCTAAGTTGGCTTTGTTCACTAAGTTAATGGTGATGAAATAACTATAGTTTTATGGGGTTATAAACAAACTAGCAACCACTTTGTCCTACCAACAAATCGCTCGGTGGCCGTGGTTTCTCAGCCAACTCTGAAGTTACCCAATCCACACTGCACTCTCAGCATCCAGGAGGGGCTTCAGTGGTTTGATGAATAACTGGGGATTACTAGAATAAAAACACAACATTTTCAGTGGTTCAAACAAATCAATGGGAATTTAATGGCAGAGATCCTCAAGATTTCTCTTCCCAGCAACCAACGAGGTAACTCATTAAAAAACCAATTGATTTGACCAATTGACTCTTACCTGTTGACATACTAAATCAAACAAAAATCAAGAGTATGTAACTAAACTCCCCATACCATTCAGCAGTGTAACTAATCAGCTAACTGTTTGAGTCGGCGTGAGTACAGCCACAACTATAGTAGAGTTCTCCACAAAGAGATAGGAAACATAAAAATCCGCTAAAGTAGTGATAATGCACTTTTCCATCTTTTTTAGGACTATAAAAAGTACATTTTCGCCTTCCATGGTGCCAGCACAATCTCACGACTCCGTCGCGCCTTGTTGCCGAGGAAGCCGCGCATCACTGATGTCGAGACTACAGAGCCAATCAAAATGATGCACAGCACCCCTTGGAGCTCAAGATCATACCCAGTGGCTCCATGGTGCTGGTATATTTACCAACATTCGGGTGATTTTCGGGGCAAATGTTGATAAACATTCCATACGTGGAGCATATGGAATTTGATAACTGGAACTAATTATATATATATATTGGAAAATGAGTCATCATGATTGGGATATATCATGCATAATGGATGCAGTAATATGCGAATTGCAAAAATACAGAAGATAACGGGGGATATATATATTTGATGGAATTATACTATGTGTATCAATGGAGTGTATTGGAGTGTTAGATAATTGGGATGTAGTAGTAATAAATAAATAAACAAACAAATAAATAAATGAATGAATGAATGAATGAATAAATGAATATACATATACAGTACATTGAGTGCATCTCTATTTATACAATGTTAATGGGGATCTGTGCTATATAAATTATATACACTATTTTTGTTAATTTATATACACTATTTTTGTTGGTTGTAATGGTGATACACTGAGATTATTGGAGTTCAATGGTGATAAAATGGTGTATGTATATCACTGGTGTATCTCATATGAGCAATGTTCAAAACATCCATTTTAACACGAGTAATTTGGATACAGCGAAAATATATCCAACATATCTGGATATATTTGATCTATGGGTTTACCTTATATTTGGTTAAGGACAGGATTCCCAGTTCGTGGAGGGTGGTAATCCCACATATATTGATTAGCGACTAAGCTTAATTTTGCCTATTCTAGGCACCCATTGGAAATCTAGGAAATAACAAAATTATGAAACCATTTGTTATTTTTGTTAGATTTCCATTGAAAATTGGGCACCCATTGGAAACCCCATTCGAAATAACAAACAAAATGGGACAACAACCCGTGATTTTGACCTCCTATTAATCTTTCCTAAATTTATTTCTATTGGTGTTCCTATGCGTTTCTATGTGTTTTTGGAGGTCAATGCCTATTGCTTCCTATGTTTTGTTATTTTGTAAACTTCCTGGATGTGCCTGTAATTCAAACATAAGACATAATCCCCTGCAATCATCAACCAGCAAAGGTTTTGAACACTGACAATATTGCCTGAAAAGGCCAATGGACAGATTGACATAGGGCCGACTTTAGGATTCCTGAAAATGGTCACTTTGGGATCATGTTACAATCCAAGTTTGCCAGTTCATGTCCATCCTGAAACACGGGTTGATAACCGCTGATACTGTCAGGTACTGATAAAGGTCACAAATAAAAAATAATCAGTAGGCCATTTCAACAATCATCACATGTTGACGTTATCATATTTCAATACTGCAGTGCTAGAGCAAAGGTTCCACGCGTTTTGTTTGAACTAGAATATTGTATGTGATCGGGCATGATTTATGATAATTAGGCTTTGCCGCGCTATCCTGTGGTGCTCGCAAGTGTTATGTTTGTTGGTTTATGTTGCACCCCCTAACGAACTGGTTGTATCACCATAAACCCAACAGGGGGCAACTCCTTATTTCATCACCATAAACGCAACAACAAATTATATTAGCCAACAAAACCAACTTGGCTAAGATAAATCAACTATCAATCCTCGTTTTTGATGGTGAAATCATCATTTTTGTTGGTTAGGTCATCGTTTTCCAGTGTTAAACCACCGTTTTCCCTGGTTACACCACCATTTTTTCCGGGTGAAAGACCGGAACCTCCATCGACACCGCCGAAAAAACACTGCCCGGCCAAGACGCTGGTGGTGAGTCGTGACGACACGTGCTGCCTGGAGAATCCCATCTGGTGATTTCATCACTGTAAACTCTGGTTCTACAAGTAGAAATGGCTTTGCATGTCTATATATATATATTAAATATAATAGTTTTATATATATATATATATAAAACAGATATAATGTATAAACCATATATAATGTCTAAACCCTATACATCATACACATCTTATGACTATTCGTCTGGTGTCGTTATTGTTGTTCTTTCACACCAACTTTCTGCGATTCCGGAACTGTGGAACTAAACCTTGAGGAGATCAAAAGATGGCGGATCCATCGTGGGGATGTGAGGATCACAGCACCACCCATTTGGGAATGGTTTATACCACCTCTTTATGGTGATTTGGGGGATTGTTGATGATTGTTTTAGCCACATGAAAAAGGTTTGTTTTCTAGGTGCTGTGTCTGTTTGATTCAGAAATCCATCATTTTCGCCCAGAAAATAGCCAGATTTCACCAAACGGCTGCCCCCGAGATTTGGAAAAAAATGTGGTTGGTGGTGGTTGTATAATCAGCGATAAGCCATTCACCCAATGATATTCCCATGAAATCCCAATGTGGTAAACCCCCATAATTTCTATCATCCCCAAACCCCATCAGCCACCCCCAGCCACAGAGTTTCACAGCTCGCCGAAGCGCAATTCCTCCATGGCAAAGAGGATCCCCGACAGAGGCGCGTTGAAACTGGAGGCGAAGCCACAGCAGAAGCCAAGAGATGCCTTGGAGAAACGAGAAACGGGTGGCCTTTGGGAGCAACCTCCCATAAGTATCCACAAGAATCATGAGTACTGTAGGAGTATCCCATAAGTTCGGGTAACATCCCACATGTTGGGATTACAGGAATTTGAAGTATCATCCCGCAAGTAATTAAATTGGAGTAACACCGCATGATTAAGGTGGGAATAGGAAGTTACATCCCATAGTTGAGTTGGAGTAACATCCCACAATGCAGTTGAGATTATAGGAATATGGGGCACCTGCAACTATTGTTGTGAATCCACTTGGAATCCACAGGAAATGCACCAAGGACATTTGAGAGAAGTATTAGATAAAAACAAACACGTGATTTATGATTAAACCTTAAATAATCTATATATAATTTTGTTGCTGTCCAATGGTGATTTAAGTTTGATATAAATGTGATGTCGCTGATTTTCTTAATGGCGTAGATTTAAGGAATGGTTTGAGCAGTTGATGATATATGCATATATAAGTAAATATAAACATGTATATAAATGAGTATATATATATATATATGTATACATATATATATATATAAGTATATGATGCAACTTTGACATATGGAATCAAATCACCAGCTTTGGCTCCAGCGACTTCATCGCGGGACCTACCAAGCAATCCAGCGCTGACGGACCCATGTGTTTTTTCTCACCAAATAGGGTGGTTTCCGGAAAATTCACCAAAATTCCCCCACCATCTATAGGTAAAATATGTTGTAACGAAGTAGAAAGGTTCGCCATTCTAACCCCATGAGTTCCCCCACATATTGGTAGTTGAAACAATTCCAAACCCAGAGTTTTGGCGATGTTGGGGGATGATGCCCAATAACTACAAGGTGCTGCACCCCAGTTTAACCCTCATCAACTATTGACATATTTGCCAAGAGAACATAGTTTCCTTATAAACGAACTTACGGTAGCAGCTAGCGAAAGCCACATAACTTGGTAGGTTCAGTCACATTTTTGATTAATGATTTACTTCTATTTTTGCAGGTTGTCGAACTGGAGCAGCAATTTCTAATTATTGGCTGTTAGGTTTACCGCATTGTTATCACGTGTATATCCCATGAATCCACATGTTTTCCGGGTTGACTCCACATTTTCCATGCTTAAATCCCCATTATCCCAGAAATCACCATTTTTGCTCATTAATTCACGATGAACTACCACAATTGTTGATGCCTAAATAACAATTTCATTTTGCCTGGTTAAACCACCATGTGACTCATGAAAAAAAAACTTTCACCATCCAATTACACTGGTTGGTTGCTATGTATACCTGTTACGGGCATAAGAATCCCCAATAACCACAGCAGAACAACTCCCAACAATATCCAATCAACCAGGGTATTTTAAATGGTTCGTGCGAGCAGTGTTCAAAACCCTATATGTCGTCCCTTTATATTGGCTGGTTAACACGATTTCCCATAATTATGATAATCCCCAATACATTGGCTAGTTTACTTCCCTCAGTATCAACCAACATCAACCAACCATCATTATTTATCAGTTACTTATATTCCCATCTTTTGATGATCAACCCATTTACATGATGAACTGATCATCAACCAACCTACTGAACAATAACCAGAGGCTAAATTACCAGTATACCATCATGTTTCTTCATGAAACCACCATTTTCAATGGTGAACCCCCCATGTTTTCTATTAAAAAAAGCAGGCGACCAGCAGCGACTGCGTTCGTGGAGATCGAATCCCACAGACCCAGCCTGGGCAAAAGTCAATCGGCTATCATAAATATATAACTTATATGTATAGTGTATATACTAATTGCAAATATATATATAAACATAAATGTGTATATATAAAAATATATAGTACATGTATACATATGTATATAACTATATGTATGTAAATAAGTATATATATATATATATATGAGGTATTATACATGTATAATGTATGTATGAAACAGTGTCATATTGCACATATAATTCTATATATATACAATTTTACACATATATCAAAAAAAGAAAAAATATATATCTATCTATCTATTAGACTTTACCAAAGCGATTTGGACAGTTATAGGGGAAGCACTTGGAATCCGATTTGGGGAACCATGGTTGCCCAAATCTTTACCAAACTTGCATGAGAAAATATACAATAGACTTTACCAATCTTACTGGACAGATCTGGTGAAAGTTGAGGACATCCCGTCACCAATTTGAGCAGGCAGCATGTATTGGGGTGTATATGCCTGTCTGTCTGTCTGTAGGTAGGTAGGTCGGTAGGTAGGTAGGTATGTAGGTATGTAGGTATGTAGGTATGTAGGTAGGTATGTAGGTAGGTAGGTAGGTATGTAGGTATGTAGGTATGTAGGTTTGTAGGTATGTAGGTATGTAGGTATGTAGGTGTGTAGGTATGTAGGTATGTAGGTAGGTAGGTATGTATGTATGTAAGTATGTATAAAAATATGTACATATATGTATACGTATGTATACGTATGTATGTATGTATGCATGTATGCATGTATGCATGTATGCATGTATGCATGTATGCATGCATGTATGCATGTATGCATGTATGCATGTATGCATGTATGCATGTATGCATGTATGCATGTATGCATGTATGCATGTATGCATGTATGCATGTATGCATGTATGCATGTATGTATGTATGTATGTGTATGTGTATGTATATGTATATGTGTATATATGTATACGTATGTATATGTATATATATGCATGTCTACGTATATATGTGTATATATATAATATATGATATATTTATATATGTCGCCAGGCACAGAAAGCAAATACTAGTCATAGTCAGCTATGTTTTTACTTAGCAAGCAAGAACTAGTTTGGTTGTAAAGTCATTTTCAATTTCAGCCCTGCGATGTTTACCCTTCGATAATCAAACATGGCAATAGGGAATCCCCTATTTACTGCAGATGATTTTCCCATTAAAACCATCATTTAGAGATGTTTTTTCCATTAAAACCATCATTTATAGCTGGTTTTCCAATTAAAACCTCCATTTACAAATGATGTTTCCATAAAAAACATCATTTATAGATTATGTTCCCATGAAAACCGGCTTTTCCTACCTATAAACCTCCATTTCGTTTGAAGATTTTCCACAGAAAACCATGGTCCACTGCCATCATCTTTCCGCCCAGACACCGATCATACAGGACAAGGAAGTACACACCTGGGGCGTTCCCCGATTTTTCGTGCTTCATGTTGGCTGATGTCGACTCCAAAAAAGGAAAGCATGAGCTGGGCTGTTTTGTTTTCATCAACATGCTTTAAAGCTAACCCCACTGACCACTAAGCTATCCTTCAAATGTTTACTCCAAGTTTATCCGGTCAGACGGAACTACCCAAAACATGGCTGATTTAGGACTGCAAACAAATTTGTTCCAGTCGGGTATGACACAATACCCCATCTAAAAATAATAAACAACTCACAATACAAATCAACAGCTATACCCGTGCCTTAACCAGTCCGTTGTGCGCAGAAAATGAGCACAGTGGCTCCCAACACCCCGTTGTGCGCAGAAAATGAGCACAGTGGCTCCCAACACCCCAGACGCAAGAGGGAAATGGACAGGCTATATTCCTCCCTTGTGGGGCTATCATTCACTTATCATTAGGTGGAGCAACCCTGTGTAAGATTTGTGAAACGTGTACCATTTGCATCTGCGATAATTGGTGGATCCCCATGATGTGACAACCATCCCTTACCCTCTGGTTATGTCAAAATAGCTATTGAAAATGGTGATTTATAGTGGATTTACCCATAAAAAATGGTGATCGTCCATAGTTTTCTTGTATGTTTACCACAGGGTAACATCGTTGAATCCATGGATTGTTGGTGCAAAAACCACCTGTTTTTGGTGCAAACCGAACCCTGTAAACCGGCCGAAGATCCGGGGGCCTGGATGGTCGGACCGTCTCCACCCATGGTACCCCCACCCAAGAAATACCTCAGCGCAACGATGGTGTGACTAGCTGATGACTAGCTGATGATTATAATGTATCTAATGTATTATCATGTTTTGTTTTAACCAACCCTAGAAAAAATGCTGCAGTACTAGTGGTATTCATGGGTTTCCAGCGACAAGCACAAGATGCTCAGAGGTTAGAACAATCTCATCACAATAGTATCCCTGTATTTCCCCACTATTCTACCAATATTTTCCCTACATTCTCCCTATATTACAACAATGTTATCCCATTAACTATAAATATTATAAACCAGAGTGAACATCCCATTCTTTTCCCATTATTATCCCTTTTTAATATCGCATGGCCCATCCTAACCAGGCAGCAAAGCGGTGATGAGCACCCGCAGCAAAGCACATCGGAAGGGAATCGGAACCCCCGCCGCCACTGCCAGTAGCGACTGTACCGTTCCTGGGGAGCACTGTGCGTTGCGGCACAGCAACACATTTCTTTGAACAACTTACGTGTTTAATAAGTTGGGGAGAAAATCATATCTAATTTCAAATGCTATGCAACAGTAAACTAAGCATAAGGCATAAATCATCATAATCATCATAATCATCATACTCATCATCAGCATAAGGCATATAATCATCATAACTCATTAAAGAAACGACTTATCTATGTGGAACGCCTTGGTGTAACCGGTCCCGGCCGGCGATGCAAACAATGATCGTTCAGTGGGGATACTTTTTGTCCTGCCCCATAGTGAGCTATGTTAGTTGATTGAAATATATATATATATATGTACATATATATATATATGTATATTATATATACACATACATATATATATATATATATATGTACATATATATATGTATATATATGTACATATATATACATATATCTATATATGTATGTGTATATATAATTATATATAAATCTATAGAAAAAGCTACTGGGATCTACTGGCCTTCATAAGCGGCTATTGATGCTATTTATCTCAGCTATTGACAGTAGCCTAGAATAAGCACAGCAACATGCAACAACAAAGGCAGTCACCACCAAACAAATAAGTTAACTACTTGGTTTTGGCCAAATCCATGCAATCCCTTGGTTTTAACACCAAAGCAGCTAGTGCTTGATATTAATTCCCAAAAATGATACCTAGATTGTGGCAATTCATGGTGTATATATCCCATCATATCTTCATGTTTCATGGTTAAATCATCACCAATCCGCCTGAATTTCTTTCCCCATTCATATTAACTAAGCAACCCCAAAAACCATGAAAAACTATATTAAACTCACTAAACCCTGTTTTTTCTAGGGATTTACACATAGTCCGGGACCACAAAAAGAACTCGGGTTTCAACATGGTAACTCCATCCCCAAGCGACCGGTACCGAGACACCCCCGCCCAGAACCTGCTTGCCATACAGTGGTGGAGCCAGGTCCACAATCGCACCTTGGCTTTTGGACGAGACCATGACCAATCTGGAGCTGGTGCCCCCAGCGCCCCCAACTTTTCAGTTGGTTTATATCAAAATAATTCTAAATCTACGAGGCCCTAGTGAAAAACATTAAAAAAAACTATGGGGCACCATCTTGGATGATGGCTGGTGCGCTTATCTTGTTATAACTCTTGTTCGACATGGCTTTCTCTGGACATGATGGGAAACATCCATTCCATCTACCTGGGGTGCCAAATGGACGCAAATGCCATGGCTTGTGGGTCTTCAATTTTGATCCCCCTAGTCCTAAAAGGGGTTATCATGTTTAGGCAAAACCCAATCCCCAGGTCAATTTGGCCAAAGACACCGATCAACAGCAAACACACCGTTGCCATCACGATGTAAATGATATCTTCCGGCACATATCCCTCGAGCGCCCGAGGCAAAATGTAGCCTTTCTTTTGAAATGCTTCGCCGTAAAAACCTCAAGTGAGACAGTGCGGTTTGTTGCATCCCAAACGAGGAGGGAAAAAAGGATTGGCCTGGTGAAGACGGTGAAGACGGAAGTCTGTTATATGGATATCCTTTAAACCTTAAAGATATCCGACAAATATCTGCAAATAGATCGCCACTGAACACCCCCACTCAATTTCAAAGAATAGAACATGTGAGTGGGTTTGTCCAACAATTAGTAAAACCAGTAGATTTCGGAGTACCCAGCTGTTTGGGCAAACAAAGGTGGCTGTGGGCTGTGGGTCAGGCTGTGGGTCAAAAACAATCAGTCTGTGGATGGTGAACATCGCGAATCAATGATGGATACGAACTAAGTGACCAAATCGGGGGTTGCATCATCCTCCCAGAGTCCGAGCCACAGCTCGTGATAAAGACTCACCATCCATCACCATCCAATTTTTGATGGTTGTGTATCCCCAATTGCTGGCAATGTTCATGGGAAAAATGGTGAAAATCAACCTGTACTATTGGGTTGTTTCATGGTTTCTACTTTACTTTTCAATGTTAGAATCATTTGTTCATGCGTGTTCCCATATTCATAAGATGTCCATTGTTTTCCATGTTTTTCTCACCATTTTCAGCCAACCCCCCACCCTGCTGAAGCAAACTTCAGGAACTATTGCAGCCATTGATGCCCAACGGGCAGCCAACATACCTGGGCCAAATGGGCAGCAAACATCATGCGGCAACGTTTTTGATCGACTAGTAAGGTTAACCCAATATTTGGGACAATTTACCCTATCTTGTACAAACACAAACATAAGGGATTTCCTATCATTAGGTTCTGCCTCAAAACACTTTTTTTAAGGGCTGCACACAGCGGATCTACAATTTACATGCTGGGGTAGTGATATTCTCGGAACATGGTATGGAAAGGTTTACACTTGGGACAACGCGCTATTGGTATGGTCGTAGTCAGACTCACAGCTGAAATCAAGCAGGTTGAGGAGGAATATAGCATCCTTTTCAGCACCGAGTGAATACCTGGGATTCTTAGTAAGGGTTGTCACATACTGATTGATAAAAAGGGTAACTCAACAAAATCAAAACTGTGGTAAAATCGCAAGTAACCATCCGTCAAATCACCATAGATGCATAAACAATCCCCAAACGGTACTGTAGGGGTCTGTAGGTTTACTCTTAGGTTTACTATTAGGTTTACTATTGGGTTTACATGGATGGGTACTGTATATCATATGACTGCAAGTAAATGCAGATCATAGGACCATAGGATTAGGCAACAACCCTCCCGTCTGAGCCAAATTGCTTGATCATGTCATGCAGTCCTTAGTGTTTTCGCGCCGCGAAATCGACACAACACTGACACAACCGATTTGCGGATCAGTACGCCCTGCGTGGTCAGACTGACAATCCCCTTACCGTTTTGGGGCTGGACTCCAGGCCGACACAGGCCTCTACGGGTAACATGTTACCAATAGTACCGCACAAGGCGGTGGCGGAAATTTCAAAGATAGGAAACTATAGGAGAGGTGAGCTGCTGTGATGCATGGAGGGCAAAGCGAATCCACTGATGGACCGAAACGTGGTTGTGATTTTTGGAGTGGTTGCAGTGGTCTCCTCAGCCACAACTGCAAGATGTAGTGTGGTGTAGCGAAGTGCATTGTAATCGTAGTGTAGTTGAATTGTTGTGGTGTAGTTGTAGTTGTAGTTGCAGTTGTAGGTGTAGTTGTTTTGTAGTTGATGGCGTTGAAATTGTAATGTTGTAGTTGTAGTTGTTTGAAGTTGTGGTGTAGTTGAATTGTAGTTGTAGTATGTGTAGTAGTTGTAGGAGTTGTAGTTGTAGTTGTAGCTGTAGTGTTGTGTAATGGTCACTGCAATTGTAGTTGCAGTTGAAGTTGTAGTTGTAGTTGAATTGTAGTTGAAGATGAAGTTGTAGTCGTATTTGATGTAGTTGAAGTGTAGTTGAAGTTGTAGCTGTAGAGTAGTTGTAGTTGTAGTGGTAGGGTTGTAGTGTAGTTGCAGTTTTCTTTCTGTCTGTGTATCTATATATCTGTTGATCTATCTGTCTATCTATCTGTCTATTTGTCTATCTGTTTATCTCTCTATCTGTCTGTCTGTCTGTCTGCCTGCCTGCCTGCCTGGCTGTCTGTCTGTCTGTCTGCCTGCCAGGCTTCCTCAACATTTTAAACTTGACAACATCAAAAACGAAGCAATTCTGCGAGGCATCCTCAATTTTTGAACTTGGCAACATCAAACACGAAGCAATTCTGCGAGACTTCCTCAAATGTTCAAGTTGACGACATCAAAAAAAACACAATTCTGCGAGACTTTCTTAAAACATTGAAAGTTGAGTGCAGAGCTGACGGTCTCGTACCAATGCTTTTTGCGATTTTTCCGAGCTACGTCTCTAAAGTATTGCGCCTGCCACGAAAAAGTGATGCCAGGTCATACGAAGTGCTGCACCTGTCACGCAAAATCATCTTAGCAAACCTGACGATCTAATGCTCCAAAATGCAACCCCTCTCAGGAAATCTCCTCTGACCTCCTAACATCTCTGGTGAACATGTCTCTTGTATTGCGCCTGGCCCGCGAAATGCATCTTTGCAGATCCTCTTCAAATGCCCCACGCCTGCCATCGTTTTTGAAACCGCTACAAAACCTTCCCGTTTTGCTCACTTTTGACAAGGTGCACAATCCCTTGCGACTGCCACGGAAAACGACATCTGAACGTCCAAAAGTGCTCCGAACCCGTCAGCTTTTAACACTGTTGACTTCGAAATGTGCTTGGCGCCACAACGGCGTGCACTTTTTCGACGTCTCAACTTCCAAAAGTGGTCCGAACATGAGGTGTTATGCGCATTTTGACTTCCAAATGTGCTTCGCGCCACAACAGCGTGCAACTTTTCATTTCTCATCTGGCCAGATGGCTCCGCTCCCGCCGCTTTAGCGAGCCTACTTTTTCGACCCTCCGGCGCCACAAATCATTGGAAAAACATGGTGAATTGCGACTTTTGTACCTTTTCGCGCACCTGCATCTTCTTTCCTCTGACTCTTTCTCTTCTCTGATCTTCTTTCTTTTTCTTCTCTTCTATGTTTCTTCTCACCTCTGTGTTTCCATCTGTCCATATTGTTGGAAGTTTGACTTCTAAACTTTCTTCGATAAGTGTTGGTTGAAAGGTATGCCATTCTAGAATAAACCAATGATCTATGGCGACCCCCAAAAAGATAGATTTGTTTCACCGCGTCCGGGCATTTGCTGGAAATCAACCAAGTATAAAAGAGAAATACATTGTTGTCCAATAAAATTAGGACACGCATTGAAACATATGATTTGTTTTGCTGAAGCTATCGATATATTCCAAGCAAATATCGATTCTTAAAATAGTTTTTAAACAACCAAATCTACATATTTGATTATTTGGTATCTTTTTGAAGGTGAATCAAAATTTATCTTAAAAATCCGTAGTACCGCACATGGCGGTGGCAGAAGTTTCAAAAATAGGAAACCTATAGAGAAGTTGGTTGCTGTGAATCACGGATGGCAGAGAGCATCCACTGATGGACCGAAAGGTGGTTGAAGTTGTGTTTTTGGGAGTGGTTGCAATGGTTGCAGCGGTCACCTCACCCACAACTGCTGGATGTAGTGTGGTGTAGCGCAGTTGTAGTTGTAGTTGTAGTTGTAGTGTGGTGTAGCGGAGTTGTAGTTGTAACGTGTAATAAGTGTAGTGTAGTTGCAGTTGTAGTTGTAATTGTGGTGTGGTGTAATTAGTGTAGTCTATTGTAAGGTACTGTAGTGTTGCGTACTGTAGTGTGGTATAGTGTAGTGTAGTCTAGTGTCGTGTAGCGTAAGGTAGTGTAGTTGTAGTTGTAGTGTGGTGTAGTGAAATTAGTGTAGCGTCATGTAGTGCAATTTAGTGGTAGTTACAATTGTAGTTGCAGTTGCAGTTGTAGCGCAATGTAATGTAATGTAATTAGTGTAGCGTAGTGTAGTGTAATGTAGTTGTAGTTGCATGTGTAGTTGTAGTTGTAGCGTACTGCAGCGTAATTAGCGCAGCGTAGTGTAATGTGCTGTAGTTGATATTGTTGTTGTAGCCGTGGTAGTAGTTGTTGTTGCTGTAGTGAAATTAGTGGAGTGTTGTGTAATTAGATTAGATGTAATTAGTCTAGTGTAGTGTAGTGTAATTAGTGTAGTGTAATGTAGCGTAGTTTATTTGCATTTGTAGTTGTAGTAGTAGCTGTCTGTCTATCTATCTATCTGTCTATCTGTAAGCTGCAAGCTTGAAAACGAAGCAGTTCTGCGAGACTTCCTCCAGGTTTGAACGTGGCGACGTCAAAAATACAGCAATTCTGCGAGACTTCCTTCAAAAATGGAAAGTTGAGTGCAGAGCTGACGGTCTCGTACCAATGCTTTTTGCGATTTGTCCGAGCTACGTCTCTAAAGTATTGCGCCTGCCACGAAAAAGTGATGCCAGGTCATACGAAGTGCTGCACCTGTCACGCAAAATCATCTTAGCAAACCTGACGATCTAATGCTCCAAAATGCAACCCCTCTCAGGAAATCTCCTCTGACCTCCTAACATCTCTGGTGAACATGTCTCTTGTATTGCGCCTGGCCCGCGAAATGCATCTTTGCAGATCCTCTTCAAATGCCCCACGCCTGCCATCGTTTTTGAAACCGCTACAAAACCTTCCCGTTTTGCTCACTTTTGACAAGGTGCACAATCCCTTGCGACTGCCACGGAAAACGATATGAACCTTCAAAAGTGGTCCGAAGCTGGTGTTCTTTGCGCATTTTGACTTGGAAATGTGCTTCGCGCCACAACGGCCTGCACTTTTTCGATATCTCAACTTCCAAGAGTGGTCCAACGTTGGTGTGCTTTGCACGTTTTGACTTCCAAATGTGCTTCGCGCCACAACGGCGTGCACTTTTTCGACATCTCAACTTCCAAAAGTGGTCCGAACATGAGGTGTTATGCGCATTTTGACTTCCAAATGTGCTTCGCGCCACAACAGCGTGCAACTTTTCATCTCTCATCTGGCCAGATGGCTCCGCTCCCGCCGCTTTAGCGAGCCTACTTTTTCGACCCTCCGGCGCCACAAATCATTGGAAAAACATGGTGAATTGCGACTTTTGTACCTTTTCGCGCACCTGCATCTTCTTTCCTCTGACTCTTTCTCTTCTCTGATCTTCTTTCTTTTTCTTCTCTTCTATGTTTCTTCTCACCTCTGTGTTTCCATCTGTCCATATTGTTGGAAGTTTGACTTCTAAACTTCCTTCGGCTATCTTTGCCAACCATGTTTCCAGCCACCGCGAAGCCCAGAATTGCCGCGATGATGCAAACAAAGACCTGCGGGGACAGGGGGACCATCCTTTGCGGTTCTAGTTTTCTAGTTGGGACTAGGCTTTAAAGTGCCTTACTAAGTGGTACCGGGGTGCCATGGGGTTTGTCACCCACCTGATTCTATATATCATGACTGTTATGTATGGATTCCCATCTCATGAATCACCCAATTTTGGCATTTCCCGACCGCGCTGGTTTCACAACTTCACTTCCCGTGAGGCAGTCAGGATTTTATGTGGGGCAGGAGAGTGTGCCATCCTTAAATCACAAGAAACTAAATATAGTATGTATATATATAATAATGATTTCCATTCATAAAATGAAATTGGTTTGGTTTATTTAATTCATGTGGTTTCTTATGATTAAAAGATTATGAGCAAACACCCCGGAAAAATATTTAACGTTCCATATGGTTTGGCACTGAACCCGTGCACATTAGTGCCCCATGACGGGGTATCACGGAGATGGGATCCACAGGCGAGGTCCAAACCGACAAGTTTACGACTCCTAGGCCCGGGAATACCAAAACTGCAAGAGCAAACTTAGATTTGACATTCGGAATAATATTCATATAGATTAAAGAAAAATGACAAAAATGACAAAAACATTGTGAGTGATTTTGATGGTCCAATGATACCTTTGTTTCCATATGGATCCATATGGTTCATACCAGGTTGAATACTCCACTCCCATGAGATCCACATCGTACCTGGGCCACCATGCTACCAAGGCACCACCAGTAGGGGTGGTACGGCATCTTGCATTGCACCTGGTGGCGTGAGTCCCTTGGACAATCTTGGACAGGTGCCGGCTTCCCACGACCCTCAAAGGATCACTTTCGGTAAAGGATTTACATGAAATTAATAGGGGGTATACCAATTATAATTTACATTGGATTTTACATCAGCTGTTTTGGCTGCGAGGTCACTTCCTGCAGGGTCTATTGTGATTTTTCCGAATGTTGGAATGGCCATGCATAGAAGTTTGCCCGTTTTTGAAGCAAACCAAAGTTAAGATTGTAAGGAGCAAACCACTGCGCTCGACAAGCATGGGGTTCAACCAACAACGAACGCTGAGATACCCGCAAAATCAAATTGAGCCATGAACAATACCCTCCAGTTACCTTTTAAATACTTAACCAAGGTGATTTTACCAACCATGAATTTGGGGCTGGTTACCTATCTGACAGGCAAGTGGAAGATGAGTGATTTAGACATACGCCATCAACAGAACAGCAATGGGCCATGGGTCAAAGATCAAGCACACTCGTCAACAGAGAAAACTTAGGACTGGAACATGGACTTTCAGGAAATCCCTACTTTCCATTGGTAGGTCCGTATCTCAAATCCCCGGTTGCTTCAACCTCCAGCGAACGTGGCCTAACTCACGCTCCTCTTTTTGTTAAAGCATTTATCTTCAGATGTTTGATGCCGTTTCTGCTGGGGAACAGAAAACCCTTTCATTTTTTCTCCCTCAAATCCTACTATTATCTCCGACTCTCTCCAAGGATGTCGCTCCCTTGCCATCTTTGTGAAGTGCCCTGGTAGATTTCTCTCAGCATAGCACACCCCAAAGTCCAGCCGTTTATCGTTAACCTCATTATCTTAGCCTTTCCAATTGCCAAAAAATTGGGTTAATCCTAATTTAAAAGCAATCCCATGCTCATCGATGCTAAACAAAGGTGGTGCCCAACACGCGTGTTTTCAGCATTTCGCATTGGATCGGCAATATTGGCCCGTGGTGGGCCCAACTTGGGCCCGAGCTGCCCCCAAACAGACCGCACCTTGGGCCCAAGTTGCACCATGTTGGACCAAACTTGGACCCAAGATGACCCAAGTTAAAGTGGACCTGTTGGGCCGAAGCTGGGGCCAAGTCGACCTAAGGTGGACCCCAGCTGCACATGTAGGTCCAAGCCAGGTCGAACAGCATGGCTCAGCTATAGGTCCGTTTGGCAGCAGCTTCGCGCCAAGTTGATCCCAAAGCAGAACGAACATGGGGAACATAGGTTAGCAGCTAGCATGAAGCTCCATCGATGCTTAAAAAGGAAAATACCAGTGAAAACGCGCGTTTTTGGCCAGGGTGTCCGGCTTGCCATGCCCCACACGTTGAGTCCATGTGGAACCGAACTTGGGCCGAAGTTTCTCCCAAACGGAACTAAATTGCACTTTGAGGGCCTATAAGTTGGCCCAGGTTGGGCCCATTTGGGGCTAAGTTGGCCCAGGTTGACCCGAGGTTGGGCCATGCTGCAGAAGTGTTGGATCGAAACAATGACTTCGGACAGTAATGTACCGAATATGCAGAATGTGTAAATTGCGACAGTCTCGTGCACTTTTTGGCGGCCTGCCGATGTCAGACGTGCATGCCTTCCAGCTAAACCCTGGAATCGTCAAATCACTCGATTTGTCCGGCACTAAACTACCACGCTCCGGCACTTTCAGCGTGGGAGGATTGTTGTGAAATAAACAATCTTAGCGATTCCGATCTCACGCGCCAACTTCCAAGTGGTTTTTTTAACCCCGTGTATACAAACCATTAATCTGGCGATATTCCATTGATCTACCTTATGGTTTATAGGCTACTCCACATATTCCCCACTGGGGATATTTTTTTGCACCACCAGCCTTCCCAGGCGTGTCCCGGGTCCGTGTGCAAGGCGCCGTGCTTCTGCTCAACGTCGTGGGATGGGGGTGGCACCGACAGCACCGAGAATCGGTCCTTGCTGGTGCTCCAGCTGACGGAATGTCCTGGATGTGGATAGGGCTCGGCACCACCCACAATTTACAGATGTTTATATTATATATGATAAATTAATTACGTTATTGCATCCCCCCACTCCACCCCACCAGTACAAACAAAATGAAGTTTGGGCACCGCTTTCTACCCAACATATATATATAGTATATTGTATATATATATATATGTAGTAAAATTATGTAAAATATACAGTATATAATATTGTGGTAGCAAGACATAAATTATGTAAGTAGCAAATATGTATGTGTATATATACTTTATAGTATATATATATGTATCTTAAGTACAGGGTATCTAAGAAGTGTATATGGTTGTTCCATACCCCCTGTGGTGTGGGCGGTAGGGGAGTGGTAGCATTGATGCAGCATATCAGTCGGAGATGAATAGGATAGAGGTTGTAGATGCAGCAGGTACGCTATGAGTGGTATATAGGTTGCATACAGCCACAATGGGCAATATATCAAGAGTAGGACAATGATTTGTTTATAAATATGCTCTTGGCCGTTTTGTAAGTAGAAAAAAAAGTTATGTATGTATATGTCATGTATATAGGTAATATGTAAAGAGGCAGGTACTGTAGTATACAGGCGGTAACTATAGGTAATTTGTAGGTAGTATATGGCCCTCAAATGCTGCAAATAAGGGCATGCCGGCCACGGGACCAGAGAAAGGGAATAAATAACTATATATATATAGTGTATATCGTAGTGATATTTATACGTATATATGTATATATATATATGTATATATACAGACATATTGTTTATGTTTTTAATATATAGTTTCGCATCTCCATCAAGTGAACTTGCACATCAATATATCCTAGGCACTCTAGAAAGTACAAAAAAATAAGTAAATATTGATCATTGATTTATCATATCCATGTATAGCTTAGATCTATGGGAATGAAAACATGCGATATCGAATATCCATCTATAGATAAAGGATAATTGGTTGGGTAAGCAAACATGGGCAGTTCTGGCTTCCATATGTGCACCTTCTCAGCAACGGTAGGTAGGTAGGTAGGTAGGTAGAGGTAAGGTGAGGTAAGGTCAGGTAAGGCAAGGCAAGGCTAGGTTAGGTTTGGCTAGGTTTGGTTTGGTTTGGTGAGGTAGGTAGGTACGTATGTATATGTATATGTATATGTATATGTATATGTATATGTATATGTATATGTATATGTGTATGTGTATGTGTATGTGTATGTGTAGGTAGGTAGGTAGGCATGTATGGATGTATGTATCTATCTATCTATCTATCTATTTATCTATCTATCTATCGATCTATCTATCTATCTATATATCTATCTATCTATCTATCTATCTATCTAATCTATCTAATCTATCTAATCTATCTAATCTATCTAATCTATCTAATCTATCTAATCTATCTATCTATCTATCTATCTATCTATCTATCTATCTATCTATCTATCTATCTGATCTATCTATCTGATCTATCTATCTGATCTATCTATCTGATCTATCTATCTGATCTATCTATCTGATCTATCTATCTATCTATCTATCTGTCTGTCTGTCTGTCTATCTATCTATCTATCTATCTGATCTATCTATCTGATCTATCTATCTGATCTATCTATCTGATCTATCTATCTGATCTATCTATCTGATGTATCTATCTTATCTATCTGTCTATCTATCTATCTATCTATCTACGTATGTATGTATGTATGTCGGTAGGTAGGTAGGTAGGTAGGTAGATATGGAAGAGGTATGTAAGTAAGTAAGTAAGTATGTATGTATGTAGGTAGGTAGGTAGGTAGGTACGGAGGGAGGCAGGCAGGTAGGTAGGTAGGTAGGTATGGAAGAGGTATGTAAGTATGTATGTATGTACGTATGTACCTGTGTAGGTAGGCAGGCAGGAAGGCAGGCAGGCAGGCAGGCAGATAGGTAGGGATGTGCCTATGTATATGTAGGTTTGTGAGTATGTAGGTATGTAGGTAGGAAGTATGTACGTATGTACGTATCTACGTATGTACGTATCTACGTATGTACGTATGTAAGTATGTAGGTATGTAGGTAGGTATTTAGCTAGGTAGGTACGTACGTATGTCCGTATGTAGGTATGTACGTATGTAAGTTTGCAAGTCTGCAGGTATGTAGATATACAGGTGTGTCGGTGTCTAGGTATGTATGTATGCGTATCTATCTATTTATGTATGCCTCTATGCATCTATGATCAGCTATGATCACCTATGATCACCTATGATCACATATGATCACCTATGATCACCTATGATCACCCATAATCACCAATTTACGTATGTATGTATGTATGTATCTGCATACATATGTATAATGCTGTATGAGGCTGTATGATGTTGAATGAAACTGTATGAAACTGTATGTAACTGTACGTAACTGTAAAAAAAAACTGTATGAAACTGTATGTAAGTGTATGGAACTGTATGTAACTGTATGTAACAGTATGCAACTGTATGCAACTGTGTGCAAGTGTATGCAACTGTATGCAGCTGTATAAAACTGTATGAAACTGTACGTAACTGTGTGTAACTGTATGTAACTGTGTGAAACTGTGTGTGTGTAATTGTATGTAAGCGTATAAAACTGTATGTGACTTTAAAAAACTGTATGAAACTGTATGTACCTGTATGTAACTGTATGTAACTGTATGTAACTATATGAAACTGTATGTAAGTGTATGTAAGTGTATGTAACTGTATGCAACTGTATGCAACTGTATGCAACTGTATGCAACTGTATCCAGCTGTAAAAAACTGTATGCAACTGTATGTAACTGTATGTAACTGTGTGTAACTGTATGTAAGTGTATGTAAGTGTATGTAACTGGATGTAACTGTATGAAACTGTATGTACATGTATGTAACAGTATGTAACTGTATGAAACTGTATGTGAGTGTATGGAACTGTATGTAACTGTACGTAACAGTATGCAACTGTATGCAACTGTGTGCAACTGTGTGCAACTGTATGCAACTGTATGCAACTGTATAAAAATGTATGAAACTGTATGTAACTGTATGTAACTGTATGTAACTTTATGTAACTTCACAAAACTGTACGAAACTGTATGTCACTGTATGTCACTGTATCTAACTGTGTATAACTGTATGTAGCTGTATGTAGCTGTATATAGCTCTATGTAGCTGTATGTACCTGCATGTACCTGTATGTATCTGTATGTAACTGTATGTAAGTGTAGGTAAGTGTACGTAACTGTATTTAACTCTATGTAACTGTTTGTGATTATGTATAAAATATAACTAATATAGGTATACAGAGTGGTGCCCTATAGTTTGCTAAGTTGGCTTATAACACATATTAATCTATAATTATAGCTTATGGTGATTGCAACTAAAGTTGAGGCGGTATATAAACAAACTTATAAATTGAACGCACCATATTGCAGTGATTCTAGGGAATTTGATTTTTTGGTTGGATATCCCAAAAACATACACAATATTATATACATATGTAAATATATATATATGTATATATTCCATACCAAGTGCTGCCAAAGTCTCGTGACTGAAAGGTCAGTCTTTTCAGATTTTCTGGAAAATAAGTTTCCATGGTTTTCCTCAGAAGGCAGTCGGACCCTTCAGTCGATGCCCTTTGCAGGGTTTTTAGTGCATGAGAGCCCTCTCCATACTGGTCAAACGAAGAAAAACAAACCGAAGAATGATTGGTCAAAACTAACTAATGCTTGCCAGGACCGAATAAAAAAAAAACATCCGGGGTATACCAACATGTCACCTGAAGGTTGGTAAATGGTTGACAACTTGACATATCCATGTCCCACATCCCAAGACTCAGGGAATCAACTCTCCGGTCACTTGAGTTTCAAACTGTCCAACCTGTTGTTTTCAGGGATAATCTGTAGGAAAGAGAGTTTTTCTCATATTTTTTCCACTGAAGATGGTGTTCGGAAGTTCCATTGATCCAATTCTTGGCCTTTCGGTATACGGAACAATGTTGACCTGTACCCATCCATGTCAGGAACCATATCCACAACATTTCACAAAAAACAAATCTGGAAAAATAAACACCTTCCTAAACCATCCCTTAAGCTTATCAGGCTTATCAGCATGTAGTCATTGATTTGATTTACCCATCACAAATCATAAAAAATAGATCACGCCCATCATCACAATCATCACAGATCATCGACGAGCATCACATCCTTCTCCTGGACGCTGAAATTTCTGGAGATTCGAGGCGCTTTCACGTTCTCCGAGTCCACGTCGAGGACCTGCACACACGAACTGACGAACTGAGGTTTGGGGGTCTCAAAGAACGAGTTGCTTCCCTGAAGCATCGAATAGATTCCAATAGTATAGATAGATACTTGGGATCTATATATATATATACACATATATTTTTCAATACTATGTATTCAAATACATTCAAATTCAAATACTATATATATATATATATATTTCATTCAATATCCACTTATAACCCGACTTATAAAAGGCGTCGAACCATGTCGAACCAACCAACCAATTGATTTCGTATTTTCAGTCACCAACAGGACACCATCCGTATAAGCTGTTCATGCTTGATTAAGGGATCATTTAACCATCTTCTTTGATGAGGGGGGATCATTTCACCATACAAATACATACAAATACATACAAATACCATACAAATACATACAAATACATACAAATACCATACAAATACCATATAAATACCATATATTACCATATATTATACATTGTTATACATTCTTATACCATATATGACCATCATTTTACAGGATTGTTTCATCCATCCATCGCTTCCGGGGGATCATCGAAATTTTCACCAGAGCCTCCTCCGCATCTTGGGGGCTCTCCACGTGGATCGGACGGTCGATCTGGTGCACCTGTGGACGGGTAAGTCATGGGCTATCCCCAATAGCTGGATGGTTTCATGGAGAAAATCCCTCCAACCAATGGCATAATGGATGATTTTTTGGGACTGGATTGGACACCTATGAGTTAAGCGTTCGACCTTGAGATTTAGCCCATGTTGAACATTGTTTAACCAATACAAATATAGTTTTAAGATTTTTTAAGATGTTTGAAGGTAGCAACTAGGAAGCTTAACCTGATCTGAATCTTCAACAAACGTGGCTTGTGAGCATCAAAGAAATAGGGATTGAACGAGCAACACTTAGGATGAAGCCAACAAACAAAGCAATGACCATCTAACAGAAATCAACCATCGCTGGCTCAGAACTATCCGTTAGTTGTTCTTATAGATAATCAGTCATGTTCAAAGATACTTATATAAACAAAGGCTTCCCACTGCCAGCTTAAATTCCAAGAGGTAGAAGGTAGATTCCAGTACTATCTATGCTTGATTACATTTCAACCTGATCTGTATTCATTGATCATGGGCATATGGAAAAAATGAACATAAATAGTGACATGATCATGTTTTTGTCTGTTGAAAACATTCTATTGGATGTCCAACACCCTCACAGGGGAAAACAATGACTGCTATCCGTACAAGGTGGTGCCTGGGATCATTAGCTAAGTTGGTGACCAGAACTCATGTCTCACTAGGGTTTATGGATGTTTATGGTAGATTTTGCAATATAATATTATATATATATATATTAATGGGGTTTAAACAAAATTATAACTGGGGGCACCACGTTGTGAATCATGTCTGCCTGTGTTTTCACCGACTGGACTTGATTTATTAGGACTGGTTCATGGTTTTCTGGCTTATGAATAGTCTATATTAATGATAACAACGCTCACTGTAAAGCTAGTAGAGAAAACATATCTATACATATCTTAATCATATTTCGGTCAAATACCAGCTGTTTTTCACAGAGATATGTCATCCCCTACTGAACCAGCCGTTTACCGTTTACCCGACCGGGAGCCTCCGCTGGCAACGTGTCCATCGTCGTGGCTCGGGCCGAGAGAAATTGGACCGAGGAAACCATGGACGTGACGGACGTGATCTTGGTGGGATTTTACCATGGTTTTTTCATGGCTTTTTTTACTTGTTTTTTAATAGGTAAACCATCTATAAATGGACCATTAATGTTCATTTATGATGGATATACTGGTTGGTGGTATACCAACCCCTCTGAAAAATCATGGAATTCGTCAGTTGGGGATACTATTCCCAAGTGAATGGAAAAATAAAAGCCATGTTCCAAACCACCAACCAGTAATTGTTTTTACCACAGGGTTTTTTAGGTTTTTTCTACGATGTCTTTTGGGATACCCCCAGCTGATCATCGGACCATCATCCAATGGAAAATCACACCACCAACCAGCAAGGGTAACCAACATCCAAAAGGGAGATCTCTAAGCAAAAAATCTGGATTTTGTACGTCACTGACAACCATACTGATAATACACCCACACGCATTTTGAGGCCATATCCGTGCTTAAACCAACCATCTGGTACATGGACCAACCATTTGGTGATGGCCATACTGTACCTGATGGAACTGATGGAACTGTAGGGGTTAAACAAAGAAACATAGCCTCTGGTAAACTAACATGACTATGGAAAGATCACTATTTCGACTGGGCCATTTTCAATAGCTATGTTAGTCATTACCAGAGGGTATCATGGAAAGCAGCAACCAGTGGTGCAGCACAATTGGTGACAGCCCTACATCCTCATTGGTTGCTGCCCTTATTTGGTGTAAAATGACGCCCACAATTTGGGTTTAAGATATATCATGATATATCTATACTTTGAGGTGGTTATAAACCAACTTAGCTAACGAACTGGGGCACCACCTTATACTGTCTGAAAATATGGTTGGTTAGATCTGGTGCATCTCTTTCCCCATCACAACAATCACGCTTTCCTTCGCTGGCGCCCCTGACACAGGGCGGACAGGGCGGTGGCGGTGGGTCCTCAGCACTGCCAAGGCACTGGCACATCCAGTAGATCTCATGTTTTCATGGGAAACAACACATGTAATTAGTAATTCACTGGAAATTGATGATAATTCACAGGAAAGTGATGATAACTCATGATAACCCCATGTAAATTCAGGGACTTCTCTAAGGTTATCTTTGTTCACAAGACGAAGGGAGAGACTTGTTGCCACAACTTCTGGGATGCTCCTTTCATACTCCCATTTACAGGTACCTCCAAGATGATAGACCCAATACATTTCACCAGGCCACCTATTGAAGGGTGTTCAATCTCTCTGGGGAAAACATATTGAATATTTCCCTGTTGTTATTGGTTCATCTAGCAGCCTAGCATCCCATTCAAAGCCCATGGTTTTCCACTCGATCACCCCACATTATGCCCGACTATGTCCAATATACAGTATTAAGAATATGATCTGTTTTTTAAGTTTAAAGGTCATATCCTCAATTGTTCAATTGATAGTAAAAGCCATCATTCTTGAAGACAAACACTGTTTCAAATACAGAAATTAAATTCTTTCATGAAGAATCACACATGGTAAGCGTCCAAAATCGCCAAGATGCATCGTCAGGCTCCTGGATGGGTCGTCACCCCACAGCCCATCTCTGAATTCAACAGGGACATCAACAGCTGATTTCAGCCAGCGAAAATCTGAGATATCCTGCAACAGTTTTTCGCACTTTCCAAATGGCTACATCTGTATCATACTACACTACACGATTCTTGGTAAATGATCAAGCCTATCAGGGCCTATCACCCCGCAAGAAGATGTTCAGGCTGTTGCAGTGCTGGTGTCCAAATATGAAAGATGCTAGGCCGGCCTTTCCAACAAATAATGAGACAGCCTGTCTTTAAATCATGGCTAACGGCAAAAATTTGATCCATTTAGGCAAAGACAGTTCTTAGAGGGATATGACTCACATTCATACAGATTTCTCCATAAACAATGGTTAAACACAGCATCAAGATTTACCCAAGAATCTGGAGACTTGTCTTTGCCACATATTGTCCCCATATGTCCCCATGATCTTTGGGGACACAGCTTGGACTTCAGGGTGGTTAGACTTCACATTCTGGCAGCATACAAAGCGGTGCAGCGTGGAAACGAACTAGCATGCATGGGCTAAACATAATTCATACACTAAGGCTTTAATCATGTTTAATTTGTAGAAATATACACATAATTGTATGTTGATGGATGCTAATGGAGGTTTTAAACCCATGTTGTACTTTGCTACCCCAAAACCTTCGCTAGTCTCGCTGGTTTCCATAAATGGGCATACCCCAATAGCTGGATGGTCTATAAGGGAAAATCCTACTGACATGGATGATGAGTGCGGGTACCCCTATGACTTAGGAAACCCCAATATATATCCCATAGGATCCATGTATGGTATATATGGTGACATTTACCATCTATACCCCAAATGTTAGCATATATACCATACATGGATCCTATGGGTATTATATTGCCAATCCCAATCTTACCCGCTGGTAATTTATGGGCCTCACATTTTTCAACAGGGGCATCATCCATACACCAGCAATTGTCCATAGCTACATGGGATTCTCCCACCCCAAATCCATTGATGATCATATGTTTCCCATTGAAATAGATTAACACATGTCAAAATTATGAATAATTAATGCTAATTAATGGTGATTAA